TAAAAAGAAAAAAGAAAGAAAATCCCGCCCCCCCCCCAGCAGTAGTACGTTTAGTCATGCACATCCTGTCTCAGCAGTGGTAACCTAAGGTACAGACATCCAATGACTTGGGCAATAACTGGTTTGGCTTGTTGGTCAGGGGCTATTCAAGTGCTTATGCAATTGGCTCAGGAACAAAGAGACTGTGGTGGAAGGGCGGAGGCTGTGCATGTTTCCAACCATATGGGCTACCTCTTACCAAGGCTGATAAAACTCCTACCACTGCAGTGTCTGATCTGCCGGCACTAGAGACCTCGCAGGATTAGAGACTGACACGGAGCCCTGGGGACACCAGTTACCACCTGGTTGAGTGCAATTTGTTTTTTGCCAGGATAGATACATGCTCTAAATATGGGCTTGTGTTCCCCAACTGCTTTGCCTCACAATTTGAGGGCATGCACTATGCCTTATCTTTTTTTTTTTTTTTTTACAGGCAGAGTGGACAGTGAGAGAGAGAGACAGAGAGAAAGGTCTTCCTTTGCCGTTGGTTCACTCTCCAATGGCCGCTGCAGCCGGCACACCCTGCTGATCCGATGGCAGGAGCCAGGTACTTCTCCTGGTCTCCCATGGGGTGCAGGGCCCAAGCACTTGGGCCATCCTCCACTGCCTTCCCGGGCCACAGCAGAGAGCTGGCCTGGAAGAGGGGCAACCGGGACAGAATCCAGCGCCCCAACCAGGACTAGAACCTGGTGTGCTGGCGCCGCAAGGCTGAGGATTAGCCTAGTGAGCTGTGGCGCCGGCTATGCCTTATCTTTTGACATAAACTGAAGAACCCATTCGCTAGACAAGGCAATGTGACAATGAGCCTGTGACCCACCATCATCCAGAGGCAGCTGGCCAGAGAATTGAGGAATGGCTGTTGAAGATCCAGCTAAATTGCTGGCTGAACTATAACACCCTGGAAAGCTGGGGAGCTGCCCTTCAGAATACAGAGCATGCATTAACATGCCTGGAATCAATATGCATGAGTGGTATTTTGTCTCCAACAGCGGGACCACATTTGTTCAGAAACCAAGGAGCTGGAATAGGATAGACCCAGTACTATCATACTCCAGAACCCATTTGTGCCTCCTATGTTCAAAATCTAGAGTCTGTCGGGTTATGGTCCTGATTCCCAGGGGAAACACTTTCTCTAGGACATATATTAGATGTTACAATGAACTGCAGACTGAAGAACACTAGGCCTCTTTGGGCTCTTCCTGCCAGTAGATCAGTAAATAAAGAAAGGAGTTATTATTTTTTTAAAGATTTATTTATTTATTTGAAAGTCAGAGTTAACACAGAGAGCAAAGGAGAGGCAGAGAGAGAGAAGTCTTCCATCCACTGGTTCACTCCCCAATTGGCTGCAATGGCTAGAGCTACGCTGATCCGAAGCAAGGAGCCAGGAGCTTCTTCCAGGTCTGCCACGCGGGTGCTGGGATCCAAGGACTTGGGCCATCTTCTACTGCTTCCCCAGGCCATAGCAGAGAGCTGGATTGGAAGTGGAGCAGCCGGGCCTCGAACCAGCGCCCATATAGGATGCCGGCACTGCAGGTGATGGCTCTACCCACTATGCCACAGCACTGGCGCCAAGAAAGGAGTTAATACAATGGCCCCACAGTCCCTGCCACATGCACCACAGAAATACAAACACTTAGACCCAGCCAACTGCACTCAATAACCTACCTTCCTGGACACATCAGGCACTTCATGATAAGAACAGAGACAGGGGATGGGGAGGAGAAACCAGTTTAAACAAGAAGAAAAATGGAATGCATAACAATGTGATGGCTCTTAGAGATGACTTGTGACACTGGGAGGAAATACGAAGATGTATCTGTAGGAACACGTTCTGAGAATATGATTTCAACAGGGGCCTAGTTTAGAGTCATCTGGTGACAACAGTGCAGACGCACGCAAACGCATGATTGAAAAGAGTCACAAGGAAGAAGAAAGAAACAGTGGCAACCTCAGCAAGCTCTAACCCCATAAGGAATGGAACGTTAGTCAGGGCTTAGAAGGCAGCTCAGGTTACCTCCTGGTTACCTTTAGGCTCTGTATGTAGTAGGTGGCTGTTTCTTTTGTTCAATTTTCCATTGTTGTACTTGATCATACACTTGTCTCAGAACTTCATGTCACAGCCATTCAGGGTCTCAGTCCACGATTTATGAAAGGTGAAGTTATTGTGTTTTATCTTTATTTATTTGAAAGGCAGAGAGAGAGAGAGAAACAGAGATGGACAGAGATCTTCTTCCCCAACCCCCTTGCTAATGCCTGCACAGCTTGAGTCAGACCAGACTGAAGTCAGAAGCCAAGAACTCGATCTAGGTCTAGTACATGGATGACAGCGACCCAGGTGTTGAGCCATCACCTGCTGCCTCCCAGGGTGCACATTCTATGAGAATCAGAAGCAGGAATAGAACTCAAACCAGGCACTCTCATATGAGACGCAGGAATCTTAACCTGAGTCTTAACCACCACCAGGTCAACAGCCCGCCCAAAGGTGAGGTTATACTCGACCTACTCAGGAAGTACCGCTAGAAGCCATCATGATGGTTATGACAGTGACAGCGAATGTGCCACAGAATTCAACTCACTATGGGTAATCTCCCTATTGTTGCTCTGAAAACTCCCTGGGAACATTAGCCCAGCTCTGGATCCTATAACTAACGCTGCAAAGAACACCTTTGCCCATAGATCAAGTCTTTGAAAATACTGACTTTCCAGGCCGGAGCGCTGTGGTGCAGCGGGTTAAGGCCCCAGCCTTGGCCTGAAGCGCCAGCACCCCATAGGGATATCTGTTCTAGTCCTGGCTGCTCCTCTTCCGATCCAGCTCTCTGCTATGGCCTGGGAAAGCAGTAGATGATGACCCAAGTCTGTGGGCCCCTGCACCTGCGTGGGAGACCTGGAAGAAGCTCCTGGCTCCTGGCTTTGGATCGGCGCAGCTCCAGCCATTGTGGCCATCTGGGGGAGTGAACCATTGGATGGAAGACCTCTCTCTCTGTCTCTACCTCTCTCTGTAGCTCTGTCTTTCAAATAAATAAAATAAAATTAAAAATTAAAAAGGAAAATACTGACTTTCCGACTGCCAATACACAAATAAGCAGCAAGCACTCGGGTCTGGAAAACCATTTATCCTTGGCCTTCGTCTGTCTACACCCGTGTGTCAGTTACCGCACTTACTGGCATCAGTAAGAAAACAAGAAAAGTGTAAGCATCTGAGCAAGGTAGTAGCCAGGGAAACCTGATCCCCTCTTCTCTGCCCCTACACGTCCTCCGGGCCCAGAAGCTGAGGAACCGGATTCTCAAAGCCACCGGCGACAGCTTTGAGAACACCGACGCAGAGTCCTCCCGCGTTCCTAGAGAGTACGCCGGAGCGGAGCGCAGTCCCGGAAGACGGATGTGACGCACTTCCGGTTCCTGGCGCTTCCGGGACGCTCGGAATTCAGCGCCTTGGATACCTCAGCGCCTCAGACGGCCCGGCGATCCACGGTGAGAGGCGGGTGCGACCGGTGCGGACAGTCGTCGTGTTCCACGGTCGCCCTGAGCCCGACGGCCCGCAGACCGGGCGTGGGAGCCCGTCCCTGCCCTTCGGCCGAGCCTCGGCAGTGGGCGGCGCTGTTTCCGCTCAGCGACAGCACCGGGTCCCGGAGGGAAGGCGAGATGCTGTGGGACCGGGAAAGGCAGTCCGCGTGCCCCTCCTGTGCCCTGGCGTCCTGGGTTTGCACCCCGAGGGCTCGGGGACAAGGTGACCCTGGTGTCATCTCTGGGTTCCGGAAGACCAAGTTCCGGGGGGCCTGACCAGCCTCAGGTGCTGCAGATCGGCTGTTCACCCGGAACCCGCCACCGACGGCAGGGGTTAACGGAGTGTCTGCAGTATCAGACTGCTGTTGGCGTTTTGCCTTTGAGTTGCAGGACTTTGTGATGGCCTGTTTCGTGAGCCCCTTCGGACACCGGCTGGGCTTTCGGTCGCCGCTTGACTGAGCGGGGTGAGTAGCAGAGTGGGGGAGGTGGTGGGTGTCACGGTGGAGAGCTGGGCCTCTGGGAGACCAGTGCTCGCTCTGCCGCTGAGCAGGGCGATCTGGGACGAAGCTTAGACTCCAGGCTTAACGTCGATCCCGAGTAGGGGTGGGCGTGGGCGCAGCGGGTTAAGCCTTTGCGTGGGGCTCCTGCCTCCCCGTGTTGCAGTGCCTAGTTCGAGCCGAGCCACCTTCCTGCTGGTGGGTCTGGAAGGCAGAAGTACTTGTCCTTGGCTCACGTACTTGCCCCTGCCACCCACAGAGGAAACCCTGATGGCGTGCCTGGCTTCCGGCTAGCCGAGTTCTGGTGTTGGGGGTATTTGGGTAGTGAACCAAGAGATGGAAGATCTCTCTCTCTCCTTCTCTCCTCCCATCTCTATCATCTGCCTTTCAAATAAAGATAAATCTTTTAAAAAAATCGATCCTAAGTCACATAAATGAGATTATCTCAAGGGCCCTTCCAATTCGGGAATTCTATGGTAGGCTCAAGTTACCTGTGAAAAGGAAGCCTAGATAACACCTTGCCTCCATTTCCTAGCAAGAAAGATGCTTCCGTTATTGACAGAAGCTAAGTGGTAGAAGACCGAGGAAAACATTGATTTTACAGGCCAGCGCTAAGCAGATTATAGGCAATTGATAGATGAATTGTGGAGAATACACTGTGAACATGACTGTTTGCTGGAGAAATAGGTTGGTTACAGGAGGTATAATGGGAACCATGTATGTGACTTACCTGTGGACATGTCTGTTTCTGTATTTTAAACTTTCACTGCTACAGTATTCCTCTATTCAGATGCTTGATAAATAGCCTGTCACAGTGAAATCTATAAATACATGCCCTTCAGGAATTGAAATGCCAGGCCTATATTGAGTTTTCTTAAATTAACTGCAGCAACTTTGTTAGGTGACTTAAGGGCAACAATGAAAGCAAAAGACAGTCCTTATTCTAGAGGATGTATCTAGTTTTGTTTTTTTTTTTTTGTTTTTTTTTTTTTTGTTTTTTTTTTTTGATAGGCAGAGTGGACAGTGAGAGAGAGAGACAGAGAGAGAAAGGTCTTCCTTTTGCCGTTGGTTCACCCTCCAATGGCCGCCGCTGCAGCCGGCGCACCGCGCTGATCCGATGGCAGGAGCCAGGAGCCAGGTGCTTTTCCTGGTCTCCCATGGGGTGCAGGGCCCAAGCACCTGGGCCATCCTCCACTGCACTCCCTGGCCATAGCAGAGAGCTGGCCTGGAAGAGGGGCAACCGGGACAGAATCCGGTGCCCCGACTGGGACTAGAACCCGGTGTGCCGGCGCCGCAAGGTGGAGGATTAGCCTATTGAGCCACGGCGCCGGCTAGGATGTATCTAGTTTTGATAAGGTTTGCAAGCATTAAGAATTAAATTTCAGGGTAAGAACTGTGAGGACTGTATATACCCAGCCAGTGGAGGAGACAGTCTGAAGTTGAGGTGCCGGGATCATTTGAAAAATGTAAAATAGGGGCTGGCACTGTGGCATAGAAGGTTAAGCCTCCACCAGCAGAGCCAGCATCCCAAATGGGCACTGGTTAGAGTCCTGGCTGCTCCACTTCCAGCTCCCTGCTAACATGCCTGGGAAAGCAGAGAATTCACTATTAAAAAAAAAAAATTATTTATTTATTTGAAAGTCAAGAGTTACACAGAAAGAGAGGCAGAGACAGAGGTTTTCCATCCACTGGTCCACTCATCAATTGGCCACAGTGGTCGGAGCTGTGCCAATCCAAAGCCAGGAGCCTCCTCCGGGTCTCCCACATGGGTGCAGGGGCCTAAGGGCTTGGGCCATCTTCTACTGCTTTCCCAGGCCATTAGCAGAGAGCTGGATCGGAAGAGGAGCAGCCGGGACTTGAACTGGCACCCATATGGGATACCTGCACTGCACGCAGCGGCTTTACTCACTATGCCACAGCCCCGGCCCCAAGAACTCACTATTTAAAACTAGCTGGCTCCGCCTTTTTTTTCTCTTTCCCTCTGATTTTTTTTCCCTTTTGGGGAAATTTAAGCATTAAGTGATGAGAAAACCAGACTGGCTCTATATGTACACTCTAAACTATGCTAGGTAGTCAAAAATAAGAGGGGCAGGTATTTATAGCAGTTAAGATGCCACTTAGGACACCCACATCCCATAAAAGAGGGCCTAGGTTCTAGTCCCAGCCCTACTTCTAATTTGTTTCTTGCTAATGTGCACCCGGGAAGGCAGAAAATGATGGCTCCACCTGAAAGACCAGACCGAGTTCTGGGTTCCTGGCTTCAGCCTGGCCCAGCCCCAGCTGTTGCAGGCATTCAGGGAATAAATGAGCAGATGGTAGATACTCATTCTCCCTCATGTGTGTGAGCTCTCTTCAGAATGGATATTAATGACTCATCTGTACTGTATAAACATTTTTCTCCTATTTTAGCTTTGCCTGTATTCCATATGGAAGTTTAAAATTTATTTTTATGTAGCAAAATCTATCTTGTCCTGTTTGACTAGCACCAGCTGTTTTAGAGGCAGCTAAAATGCCAAAATAAATAGGCTCAGAATGTAATGGCCTAAGTAAAACAGACATTTTTTTTTTTTTTAATGTGCCATCTCGGGAAAAGCTGGTGAGCTCTAGTCACATGCGGTCATTCAAGGAGCCAGACACTGACTACAATGAACAGTTCTGTGCTGAAGACACTCTGGGGGAGCATCCGCTCATGAAAAGGGTTCTGAGGACTCCATTTATTACCTAACTCCTGTACGCCCCTACTCTAAGGGGGAGGGAGGGAAATGGGGAAGCTATGGTGTTCACTTTTCTAGTGTATGGTTACCTCGGTGACCATGGGCCTCTGTAGGTCAGATAGGGGAAACACTACATATACTTTGCCATGGTGTAGCAGGATCCTTCCTCAAGGGAACTAGATTCACCTTCAGTCAATGGATTCTAGGCATGAGTTGGCTTCCACTTGCAAATTAGGCCAAGATGTGTCCTTTCCTTGGGTCAGTTGGCTCCAAATGTCTGTTCACTCATTCTTTTCTAATTATATTAGGCAACTGATATTTCAGCCATCTCCATACAACCCTGAGGTCAGTCTGCCATCTGCACCCTCAGCCTTGCGGCCCAGTACAGTAATTACACCCACTTTGCTTTCTTTCGTACCTGGCTTCTGTTATTCCAGAATCTGTGACCACTTTTGCTTCTAGGGAGCCCAGCTGTGTATGAGCATCGCTTACTATCAGTCCTGGCAAATGACTATCAGCAAGCTTTTCAGTGACGCTGATGGGCCTCATGGCAAGCCTTCCTTACAACCTTGGTGAACAGTGCTCTTCAGGCCCTCCTGAAGAACACAGCCAGTGAGGGGTTGTTTGGGTGGTTCACTACAGCAGTGCCATCCCGTTTTGTCTATGTACGGGCCTTTAGTCCCTTTAGTCTGCCACACAAGCCTGGATATCACCGTTTCATTTTGGGCCACTGCTTTTTCAGAGCTTTCAAGAATCATCACAGCAGTGTTAGACTCGTCTCCCTCTTGCCAATGTTGAGTTTTGTCACTTGAAGTGTACTCTCATGTCAGGATTTCCCTTTCTGATTTTAAATATGACGCTCCCTGGTCAGGATCCACTCTCATAGTCCCCCAGCCCTACCAGCACACGCATCAGTCCCTGTAGCTCCTTAGATGTGACCCCTGCCCTCTGTTCACAAGGTAGCACTTGCACTCAGATCCGATGGTGAGTCTTCACCCTACACACCTGATAGACAGGTAAGCAGACAGCAGCAGATTCTGGGCATCAACACTATGTTAACACAGTACAACGCCTGCCTCACTTAAGGCATTCCAACATCGTGGGCTACTTGCACAGGGCCAGAATGCAGGGCAATCTAGGGATTTAAAGCATTCAATACAGCTACTCATGTAGGCCCATCTCTTCCCCACCACAGCCTTTGGCACTGACTTTGGCTAGATTTGCTCAGCTGAGAAGTCTGGCATTCCTGCAGTTCTCTCATTCTGTTTAGTCTTAGAGCTGAACTTCAGTTCTGTGGTTTGTGTGTAGTTGAGGGCCTCTTTAAATGCTACTAAGAAGGCCCTCTAACACTTTGCATTAATTTTTTTTTTGTACTGCTACTTTTAAAAATAAGTGGTTTTCAGCAAGAGCCTCTGAATCTCATAATCCTTGTTATTTTCCTGTTTGTCCAAATCTTTGTAAGTTATTACTACCTTTCTCAATGCACACCATCTCAGTTCATAAGTGAATGTTTTGGGGCTAGCGCTGTGGCTCACTTGGTTAATCCTCCGCCTGCAGCGCCAGCATCCCATATGGGTGCTGGGCTCTAGTCCCAGTTGTTGCTCTTCCAGTCCAGCTCTCTGCTGTGGCCCGGGAAGGCAGTGGAGGATGGCCCAAGTGCTTGGGCCCCTGCCACCCACATAGGAGACCAGGAGGAGGCTCCTGACTCCTGGCTCCTGATTGGCGTAGTTCGGGCCGTAGTGGCCATTTAGGGGGGTGAACCAACGGAAGGTAGACCTTTCTCTGTGTGTCTCTCTCACTGTCTAACTGTATCTGTCAAATAAAATAAATAAGTGAATGTTTCAGTGGTTTAACAGGTGCCACATGCCAGGACTATCAATACTCCATGTGACATCACAACTTTCTAGCAGTCAGCTTCCTAGTACTCATTCTAACAAATGTCCTATATCAGTTCTCTGGAGCAGAGCCTGACACAGGGATTCTGAGCCACATGATTTGAGGGTGTCCTCGAAAGAAAAAAAACATTTAAGGAAAATGAAACACGGTAGAGACGTTAAAGAGCTGAGCATGGACAAAGGCTGAGATAAAGCCTAGCTTTGGCTTGATCCCAAGAGAGGGTTCTGGAGCATAATTACAGCATAGACTCCCCACCCACCCCAAGCAAGTGAATTATCCTTTTGTACCGCTATCAGTCATTGGCTGAGGGTGTGGAGGGTTGATAACTCCTTTGGAAAGCAGCCTCCACTGTCCAAGGACAGTTCCCCTAGAGTCTCTGGAGAAATGAGAGAACAGAGCACTTACCACCCAAGCTCAGAGCAGCTAGAGAATGGGTGTGTCAACTTGGTAAAGGGGTCTGGATAGGTTACCACAGTGACGTAAATATTTAGGGAACACTTACTGTATGTCAGGCAAATCAGCAGAGGCAGGGCTTCAGCACACTCAAGCACTTTCACCCTCCCTAGCTAACAGGCTCAAGCTAATGATCTTATCCATGTCATCTTTCTTGCCCCCCCAAAACCACTACCCACACCTTCCCACAAGGCAGGGCTAACTGGGTCACATCATGCCTGTTCCCTGTTACTACTGACTTTGAGTTCTAGTTGTGAAGTGAATTGAAACTCATTCTGAACACTGTCACTCTAAGGCAGATCTATCTTCAGGGCACCTGGGAATCAGCTCACATATTACTTGACCTTTAACTCGATCCAACTTATTGTATAGATTTAGCTGCCCTTATTTTGAGTCATAAAATACAGACCACCCCAGTTTTTCCCTTCTAGTCTATTCCTCTAAGGCCCCTGGTTCCTTCATCTTAAGATGTGACTAAGCAGCACAGTTTCTCCTGATTTTACTAGTTTAACTCCTCTTCGTATACTGGCTATCCTTAATGCTACTAGAATCAAAAGAAAACAACATACGTTTCAAGAAGTTGCAGATTGAATATCGCAGTAGAAACATACACACCATACCATCTAGCCTCTGCACCCAATTTTGCCAAAATAGATGACCTGCCAGTTTCTTTTCAAAGGGTTTTAATATTCAAGATGGGAACAGTGACTGGAGTATTGTAGTGGCTGGGATAATTATTTCTAAAAAAGGTTCATTGCTGAGGTACCAAAATGGGTGTCATGCTGGAGTTCTTTTTTCACTGCACTCTTCCCTGAATAGATAGGCTGTCAAAGCAGAAAACTACAAATAAAGCTTATTTCTACTGCATCCATGAGGTTTTTCCCAGAATCAGTTTTCTGAGTTTCAAATGAAGGTGTGTCACCTGAAGGTTCTCCATCATCCACCATAGCCATAGGTTCTCTTTGTCTAGATTCCCAAGCATGAAAATGCTAACCCAAACATTTCTTAGTGGGGAAAGCAAACATATCTATTTATTGTGAATTCTCCAATGTTCCCAAAGGCTGAATTCTGCCTGAAGGATCTCAACATATCTGTAGTTTGATGGCAAACTTCAAATACCTGAAGCTGTTGTACTCATTGTAGGAGTAACGTTTCTCTTTAGGAAGGTGTTTCTAAAACTAAGAGCTGTTGTGTAGTAGAAATACTTACACACTTAGGGTGTTTATGGAATCTGTCCTCTCATGGCTTCTCAGATGTTTAAACAGGCTACAACTCCAACTAAAACTCATTCCACATTCTTTACATTGATAGGGTTTCTCACCAGTATGGATTCTTTGATGTTGACTAAGATGCGACTTCAGAGTGAAGCCTCTTCCACATTCATCACACTGATGGGACTTCGTGCTGGGACAGATTTTTGGATGTTGTTTTTTGTGGGAACACTGGCCAACATTTTCTCTACATATATCACATTTATGGGTTTTCTCTGCAGTATGAGTTCTGTAGTGCTGAATAAGGTCTGAACTGTACCCAAAGGTTTTTCCACATATATCGCACTTGTAGGGCTGCTCTTGTAACTCAATCTTCTTATCCTCAATCACAGTCAAGTTCCAACTGTATGCTTCCTCACAAATGCCATTTTTTTCACTTTTCTGACCCATGTGAAGCACCTGGTGCTCAATCAGGCTAACGTACTGAAAAAAGATCTCTCCACATTCATGGCACTGATGAGATTTCTCTCTAGAGTGGAGTCGCAGATGTCCAGCAAGGTGTGAACGCCTCCCAAAGCCTTTCCCACATTCATTACACTTAAAGGGTCTCTCTCCACTGTGCACACTCTGATGCTGAACAAGATGGGATCTCACTCTAAAGGCTTTCCCACACAGATGACAGGTGTAGGGTTTTTCACCAGTGTGGACTCGCTGATGCTGAGTGAGGTGTACACGTTGATTGTAGCTTTTCCCACATTCATCACACCTAAATGGTTTCTCTCCAGTGTGGATTCGCTGATGTTGAATAAGATGTGCACTCTGAATAAAACTCTTTCCACATGTATTACATTTGTGTGGTCTCTCTCCTGTGGAGGATTTTTTGTGGATGTACCGGACTTCACTGCAATTCACCCTCTTTGAAGAGGGTTGTCCTAGTATCTCTTTCATGGGAATTCCTGGTTTTCTATCCACCAGGCCTTGGTGGTCATAGTCGTCTGCAAAATCTTGAACTTGAGAAACATTTCTTTGGATTTTTCCTGATAGTTCCATGTCTGCTTCTGAAAATTCTGAAATTTTCTTGACATTCAACTTTGTATTCTTTCTTTTGTCACTGCCTGAAAGAAATACAGAGCAAATTCAAATGTTATCAGTTGACAGAATAATCAGATGAAATTATGAAATAATTAGGAGTAACAGAAGGGAATGCATGTTATGTATCTGACACCAATGAGCACTGTAGCACTGTAGGTTAATTCTCTGCCTGTGGCGCTGGTATCTGAGTACCGGCTTGAGTCCTGGATGCTCCACTTCCAATTCAGCTCTCTGCTACGGCCTGAGAAAGCAGAAGATGCCCCAAGTCCTTGGGCCCCCACACGGGCATGGGAATCCTGGAAGAAGCTCCTGGCTCCTGGCTTCAGATCTGCCCAGCTCCAGCCATTGTGGCCCTTTGGGGAGTGAACCAGCAGATTAAAGACCTTTCTCTCTGTCTTCCCCTCTCACTGTAATTCTACCTCTTAAAGAAATAAATAAAATCTAAAAAAAAAAAAAAAAAACCTACAAAAAACTTTTAGTATTTGCTCAGGAAAAAAGAACAGGACAAAAAATGACTTATGTAAAAGGTGATAAGAATTACAGAGATTAAGCAATAATAGGGACAAGAGAAAAATATTATTAAATAAAGAGGAGAGAAGCAACTCAAATGGGAGGGAACACAGGAAATGCAAAGGGGCTCTTCTCCCAAAATGTGTAAGGCAGCCACAATGAGGTACAACAAAGATACACAATTAGATGGTGAGAAGTGATAAGAACTGGAAGAACAGGAAATAAAGGATTATGAGAGGATATATATATATATATATAGTTAGGAGATTATCTGATTAGGAGCCAGGAAATGAATGAGTCAGCAAAAAATTCTGTCAGGAAGGGAGATGCTGCCCTCTTCATCCTAAATCAAATTCTGGCTTAGTTTCCCTCTAAGAGCACCTCAGGCTTCCCCTTTGGAAATGCTCAGCTACCCGCAGGAGACCAACATCTCCACGAGGGCATGAACTGGGTCTGTCCTGTTCCCTGAGGGACCCCAAGCTCCTAGCACTAGAGGCTCTCAACATATATGGCTGGATGAGCAAATAAATGTTCCTCCTTTGACCCAAAAGAATGAGGTGGGGAGAGGGGTGAGTATTAACTGGGAAAGTAGCCATAGGAACAATTGCAGGGAAGATGCTTAAAAAAAAAAAAAAAGGAAAACTTGGGGCCGGCGCTGTGGCACAGTGGGTTAATGCCCTGGCCTGAAGCGCTGGCATCCCATATGGGCACCAGTTTAAGATCCAGCTGCTCCACTTCCGATCCAGCTCTCTGCTATGGCTTAAGAAACCAGTAGAAGATGGCCCAAGTTCTTGGGCCCCTGTACCCACATGGGAGACCCAGAAGAAGCTCCTGGCTCCTGACTTTGGATCAGCACAGCTCTGGCCGTTGCGGCCAATTGAGGAGTGAACCAGAGGATGGAAGACCTCCCTCTCTCTCTCTGCCTCTCCTCTCTCTGTAACTCTTTCAGATAAATAAATAAATCTTAAAAAAAAAAAAAAAAAAGGAAAACTTATTCTAAAGCAACTGTTTTTCAAGTCCAGAGCACTATCAGATTTCCCAAATTAGGCAGTCACCAAGTAGAAGGGGACTAAACTGTCTGACGAAATGGCTCAGTTCAATCCAACAAGTTCAAGACACAAACTTCTCTACCAATGATGGAAGACATGGCAGTGGCAGTTAATGTGAATAAAACAGCTGCATTTAGGGACATCAAAGGTATAATTAAAAAAAAAAAAAACAAAAAAAAAAAAAAAACACTTTGCCCAGTCCTGGAGCTGTCTTAAAGACTCATTTAGTTCAGAGCAAAGTTTATGGTGATTGCATCCATATTTAAGATTAATGTCACCTGAAAAGATTTTTTAAAAAGTAAAATAGGAAAATTAACCTTACTCATAACTAAATTCATGAAAACGAGTAAAGAATTTTCTTCTAATTACTCCACTTACTAAAAAAAATGTAAGAACCCTGGCAAACATTTAGTAAATACCAATACTCTCATATGTGATGCAACTGTTCTTAGCAATTTGGTAGTATGTATAAAGAGCCATAAAAATATTTTTATTCTTTCATCTACTAATCCCTATTCTGGGAATCTATTATAAGGAAATAATCCTAAATATAGAAATATTCATAGTCACAACACATTTATCAGGACAAAAGAAAAATAATTCAAAGTTCCACAGCTGAAATACAGCTAAGTGAATTATGATGTCACCACACAAAAACAGGTTATCATAGATAACCAACATGAGGGCTGAGCAACACTGGAAGGTATGAATGTCTATACTTAATTTTACCATATGAGGACAACTATGTAAATATGGTCATGAAAAAAATAATACAAGGAGGGGATAGTACTGTGGTTAGGCATACACCTGTGGCACTTGCATCCCATGTGGGCACCAGTTCAAGTCCTGGCTGCTCCACATCAGATCCAGCCCCCTGCTGTGGCTTGGGAAAGCAGTAAAGGATGCCTCAAGTGCTTGGGCCCCTGCACCTGAGTGGGAGACCCAGAAGAAGCTCCTGGCTCCTGGCTTCGGATCAACCTACCTCCAGTTGTTGTGGCCACTTGGGGAGTGAACTAGCAGATGGAAGACTTCTCTGTCCCTCCCTTTGTCTGTAACTCTGCCTCTCTAGCAAATAAGTAAATTTTTTAAAATATATAAGGAAACACACTAAACAGTAACAGTTCTATTATGATGGTGGGATTGTGGGTGATCTCTTTCCTACGAACTCCCTGTACTACTGTTATAATTTTAAAATCAATAATATAGGTTGGCGCAGCAGCTCACTTGGCTAATCTTACGCCTGTGGCGCCGGCACCCCGGGTTCTAATCCTGGTTGGGGTGCCGGATTCTGTCCCGGTTGCTCCTCTTCCAGTCCAGCTCTCTGCTGTGGCCCGGGAAGGCAGTGGAGGATGGCCCAAGTGCTTGGGCCCTGCACCCACATAGGAGACCAGGAGAGGCACTTGGCTCCTGGCTTCGGATCGGCGCAGTGCGCCGGCCATAGCGGCCATTTGGGGGGTAAACCAACGGAAAAGGAAGACCTTTCTCTGTCTCTCTCTCTCTCTCTCTCTAACTCTGCCTGTCAAATAACAATAATAATATAATTAAATCAGGAAAAGGGGGACAACAGAAGGAAGCATGTAAGAGGGCTAAAGTCTCACATGCTACAATATAAAGTTCACAGATAATGTCTAAAAAGGATAGGCCAACCAATAGCATATTTCTTTAAAATATGGAATTACCAGGATAGATTAAGAGCTGAAAGTAGACGCCTCTTGGGAAAGTAAACAGATGTGCACAGGATTTTGTCTACTGATTTGACAACTTAAATATAAATAAGAATAAAATATATTTGCACCTTTGACCCTTCTTACTGCTTCCAGTGTCACAATCTGTCCATCCTATTGTACTGAGTACATAGGACAATTTTTGCCTCCCTTTATTCCCCAAATACAAACTCCTCACACATACATCTCTGGGATTTCTCCTTGAAGTGGCGTTTCAGGTGTTCGATCAGGTGTGAATGCCGACCAAAGTTCTTCCCACATTCATTACACCCATAGGGTCTCTCTCCACTGTGGACGCTATGATGCTGCACGAGATGAGAGCTCACCCGGAATGCTTTTCCGCACACCTGACATTTATAGGGTTTCTCACCAGTGTGGACTCGCTGGTGCTGAGTGAGGTGCACGCGCTGATTATAGCTTTTCCCACATTCGCCACATGTAAACGGTTTTTCTCCAGTGTGGATTCGCCGATGTTGAATGAAGTTTGAGGCTTGAAGAAAAAATTTGCCACAGTCGAGACATCTGTGACCTCTCTCACCATTTGTGTTCTGCTTACGGTTAAGGTCCTTGCCAGTGCTGAGATCTCTTTTCTGAGAAGAATTCTGCCTTGATTTTCCCACAGCGGAGTTCACCTGCCACCTCTGGACCATGCCCTTAAGGTCGCTGACTTCTGCAAACCCTTGACTCTGAGGAATGTTCCGCTCGGTGCTTCCCGGTGCCATCCAATGCGATGTGGCTTCCTCAGCAATCTGCTTTACCGTGAGCTCCGTATTGGCCCCGGGCTCACAATCTGAAATCACAGAAGGGAAAAGGGACATTTAGGTCTTTCCTGCAGTAGAAGAAATGATGAGGGTTCAGGATAATTAAGTGAGGCCAAAGTGCTGGAATGCATGACTGTGAAAAATACAAAGACACAAATGTGATAAAGACTCTTCAAGCAAAACTGACAGAGATTAGGGGAGGAGGAGCTGGTAGGAATGGTTCCAAAGAATGAGACAAGAGAACAGTCATTTTATTTCAAGAAAAGAATATCACCTTGATATGGTACTTACATATAGTACATGCTTGTCAATACCCGTGCAGTACTCAATAAAATATTCTTAATAAAATTTGATACTGGGTTACATTCCTCTTCCTGTGAATTCACAGCTTGGAGGAGAAAGGTGACATATGCAGTTTTACTAATCCTCAAAGGATTACAGAGTTGTATAATGAGTCGGTGAGGGGGGAGTCTTTCCAATCTGAAGAAGAAACTACTAATCAGTAGTCACTGATAAATGTAGATGTTTGAGTGACTGCAATCAGTTCCATCATACACTGCATCAGCAGCAGACATTTTACTCTGAACACTGAAGTTGAATATCATTTACAGAGACAAGTCTTCAGTAGTTAACCAAAAATAAGGAATATTATACCCTTCCTCCTTCCTAGACCCTGTACCTCACAGTGCCAATCCTACATCAGTTATCTGTTCTTCCTTGTCTCCGTATTTAACCCTGCTAGTTCTTTCCCAGTAGCATTTAAATATGCTTAAAACTTCTCCCATTAAAAAAAAAGAACATAAAAAAGGTGGGTATTTGACAGAGCAGTAAGTTATAGCTTGGGATGCCCAGTCCCATGGTGAAGTCCTTAGGTTTGCGGCCTGCCTCCACTTCTGAATCCAGCTTCCTGCTAATGAATACCTTGAGAGGTAGCAGTGTGATGGCTCAAAGAGTTGGGTGCCTGCTGCCCATGTGGGAGACCTGGATTGAGTTCCTAGCTCCTGGCTTTAGGTCAGCTCAGCTTTGGCTGTTAAGGACATTTGGGGAATTAATTCTCTCTCCCTCTCTAATACATAAAAATAAATACATAAAAAAAACATTTTACATACAAAAGTAATTCAGGGGCTGGCACTGTGGTGCAGCAGGTTAAAGCTCTGGCCTACAGTGCCAGCATCCCATATGGGCACCAAATCAAGTCCTGGCTGCTCCACTTCTGATCCAGCTCCTTGGTAATGTGCCTGGGAAATGCACCCATGTTAGAGACCTGGAAGAAGCTCCTGGCTCCTTGATTTGAATCGGCCCAACTCTGGCTGTTGGAGCCATTTGGGGAGTAAACCAGTGGATGGAAGATTCTCTCTCTCTCTCTCTCTGTCTCTACCTCTCCCGGTAACACTTTCAAATAAATAAAGTAAGTCTTAAAAAAAAAAAAAGAAAAAAATTCATTCTTTCAACTCTGTACAGTGATCTGAACACTCTCTTCTCCTGGACTAAGTTTTTTAAAAGTTCCTCTGCAATAGCTGTGTGTGTGTGTTTGTTTGTTTTTTGACAGGCAGAGTGGACAGTGAGAGAGAGACAGAGAAAGGTCTTCCTTTGCCGTTGGTTCACCCTCCAATGGCCCCTACGGCCGGCGTGCTCTGCTGATCTGAAGGCAGGAGCCAGGTGCTTCCTCCTGGTCTCCCATGGGGTGCAGGGCCCAAGCACATGGGCCATCCTCCATTGCCTTCCCGGGCCACAGCAGAGAGCTGGCCTGGAAGAGGAGCAACCGGGACAGAATCCGGCTCCCCGACCGGGACTAGAACCCGGTATGCTGGCACCACAGGTGGAGAATTAGCCTAGTGAGCCGTGGCGCCGGCCCTTTTTTTTTTTTTTTTTTTTTTTTTTAAGATTTATCCATTTATTTGAAAGTCAGAGCTACACAGAGAGAGAAGGAGAGGCAGAGAGAGAGAAGTCTTCCATCTGCTGGCTCACTCCCCAGCTGGCCACAATGGCCAGAGCTGTGCCGATCCAAACCAGGTGCAGGAGCCCAAGGACATGGGCCATCTTCTACTGCTTTCCCAGGCCACAGCAGAGCAGGATTGGAAGTAGAGCAGCAGGATCTTGAACCAACTCCTGTGTGGGATGTCGGCACTGCAGGCAGTGGTTTAACCCGTATACCACGGCGCCGGCCCCTGCAAAAGCTGTCTTAAAGTCTTCTCCTTTTCAGTCTTCGAAAAAGCTCTCATGTTTTCCCAAAACCCCAGCCACTCCATCGAACCTACTGTCTTTAAGATTCCTTTATTTTTTAAAATCTCATTTCCAAATCTGTTGGATCTTTTTTAAAAATTCTGACCTTCTACAATGTTACTAGAAATCAATAGGCATGAGAATAATCAAATGTAGCCTTAAACCTACTTGGGGAATGTTATAGAAAAGAACTGTGCAAACAACCTCAAACTCTAAAACCCATGAAGTCCCTGAAAAGTAACTGAAATAGATGAAGCAATACTAATAGACTCAAATGAGACAAGTGAGGGATTAAAACTAATTTAAAAAGAAGAGAATGAAAAAAGTTGCATTAAATATAACATTTATAATACAACTGATTGGGGCCAGCACTATGGCATAGCAGGTAAAGCTGTAGCAGGTGGGGCTACCACCTGCAGTGCTGGCATCCCATATGGATGCCAGTTCAAGTCCTGACTGCTCCACTTCTGATCCAGTTCTCTGCTATGGCCTGGGAAAGCAGTGGAGGATGGCCCAAGTCCTTGGGCCCCTGTACCCATATGGGAGACTCCTAAGAGGCTCCTGGCTCCTGGCTTTGGATTGGCACATCTCCAGCCACTGTAGCCAACTGGGGAGTGAACCAGGGAATGGAAGATATCTCTCTCTCTCTCTCTCTCTCTCTCTCTCTCTCTCCTTCTCTCTCTGTGTAACTCTGACTTTCAAATAAATAAATAAATAAAAAGGGAAAAAATAATGATAATGTAATAACAACTATAATAAAAATTTGGCAAATTCTGAGATGTTTTCATAAATCAGAATTCTATTGAGAATTATCCAATTTATCAAGGAATAAAATAATTACCTATTAAAAATTTAAGATGCAAATCGGTTAGGTTTAAGCCCTCTATTATTTTAAAGTAATAAATAGCATTTGCTGGATTGCAAAAACTATCCCAAGCACCACCAGTCTTCAATAATACCCTTATTAAGAAAGGAAAAAGCTGAATAAGAAAAAAAGTTGATTTACTCTTTCACTGGAAAAAAAAATAAGCAGTCATATCAATTAATATATATGTTTTTATAGGATGTGCTAGGAATATTCATTACAAGACAACAAAGTTGAGATGTCCTAATCCATGCAGGTAAAACACTTCTTACCCATGGATGCAATATTCCCATAATTTTCCTTCCTGCCATCCCTATATAGGGACTTCTGGGACGGGTCCAAATGTCCCCATTCCTCCAAGAAGAAGGACACAGCCACATCAGCCACATCTTCAATTTTCATCAACTTCTGAAACGGGAGCGCTCCACTAAATTCCCAATCCCTATGTTCAAATTTAGAGTAAGAAGAACTGCGAGCATTAAGGAAAGGAACAGGGGGAGGAGCTATGCCTCAAAGAGAGCACAGAAGTACTGGCAGAAAGGAAAAAGACAAAAGAGAAGGAAGGTACCAACCCCAGATAGGCCTGGTGCTGGTGAAGAAAACAGAACTCCTGGAAGATTTAGGATCAGAGCAGCCACCTGCCAGAGCAAAGTTATGGGTGGGTCCTCACAGAGGGCAAAGGGGCACCAGCTCACCTGGGACCCAGCTGAGAGAAGTGAGGTTGTCAGCTCCTGGCTGTCCTTCAGGGGAAGGGAAGGAACTTGGAGAACAGGAAGGGCTGAGGGAGGAGAAAAAGAGGTATAAGTGAGACTATCTCTGTCCAGCTCTCATTGCCCTCGGGTGCTCTGTTGCTCATGAACCTGCAATGGCTCCTGCTGGATCAAGGCCAAACTCCTGCTCAGCTCTCAAGTTCTTCTACATTTTGCTCCCTGCCACACTTACCCTCATATTCCTGCTCCCCCTGAAAATTAAACCTCTTCCTTTGGAATGTTGATCCTTTTTGAGGCCATTCCCCTTCAAAGCTTACACCCAGCTCTGCCAATATCAAAACTGACACTGTCTAATGGGAGGGTAGACTTGTGAGAACTATAAGGGAAGGTACCCAAGTTCCCACAGGAACCCAGAGCAGGGGCATCTACAGAGAGGGGGTGAGAGTTGCAGCAGCAGCAAAGCCTTTCCACTGAAAGTGATGTGGGCAGTGGGGAAGGGAAGTGGGAATAGGCTGCTTTCCAGGCAGAGCAAAGAGCATGGTAACATCGGGACGGTCTCATCTCTAGAAGCTGGAGGTCATCGGGGCCTCCACTGTCACCTCTGCTGCTGATCTGCCTCATGACACATCTGGATCTCACTGTCTGAGTGTGCCCTGACTTGGACACACCTACAAGACATTAACCTTTAACTAGAAAATTTAGACTTTGTTATGGTTTCCTCAGCCCTGGAGATCTGCCTGCTTATTTCCTGTGATTAGGAAATAATGAGCAATGACACAAAAAGGAGGAGATTATGGTTAGAGATGGAAGCCAAAAACAGAGAAGGATCTGAAACCAAGAATGGCCAAAGAGTCAGAACAGGACCTGAAGAATGTGATGAATACTCTGTGTCTGAATGAACAGTAATTTTGTAGAAATAAAGAAACTGGCTAAAGTCTAGTTTACAGGGCAAAGAAGACAAGAAGCACCTGGAAAAGAAGAAAAGAGGAACCTGATCTGATGAGATTCACAAAGTGGAAGGAACATGAATGGTTTAAGCTGCTTGAGAGAACCTGGTAATGAAGCAAAGGAAAGGGGCTGGCGCTGTGACATAGCAGGTAAAACCACCGCCTGCAGTGCCGGCATCCTATATGGGCGCTGGTTCTAGTCCCGGCTGCTCCACTTCTGATTTAGCATCTCTGCTGTGGCCTGGGAAAACAGTAGAGGATGGCCTAAGTCCTTGGGCCTCTGCACCCACATGGGAGGCCCAGAAAAAGTTCCTGGTTCCTGGCTTTGGATCAGCTCAGCTCCAGCCATTGCAGCCATTTGGGGAGTGAACCAACAGATGGAAGACCTCTTCCTCTCTCTCTTTGCCTCTGCCTCTCTATGACTCTGCCATTTAAATAAATAAGTAAATCTTAAAAAAAAAGGAAAAAAAAGATAAAGAAGCCCACATCTCCCCTGCCACCCTCCCCCCGCAAAAAAAAAGCAAAGGTGAGACAGATCAGAATAGGGTAGAAGCAGAATACGATAGATTCAAACTGCTCTGTTTTCTGACTTTGGACAAATTAATAAACTTCTTTAGGACTCAGCTTAATTTCTTTGCCTCTATTTTTCAGCTTCTTAATTTCTAACATGAGAATGGCAATAATATCTATTCCATCAAGTTAGTATAAGGATTAGCTGTGGATATACCAACATGTTTTACCTGACACAATTTTAGTTTTTGAGCTTCACTTTTGAGTTTTATTTTTAAGATTAGTACTAAACAACAGTTATTCTTTTGAGATCTTCTAAAAGGCAAACAAGAAACTTATTTTATAAGTAGAATATAACTCATTTTATCTTATAATTTTATATGGGTCCTTCAGATACTTTTACAAATCTAAGATAGTTTGAGATCTGTGCAATTTTATTTTTCCTATACTTGAAACATTTTGGTACTTCATCATCTTAAGAATTACCTCATTATTACTCATCATTATTCATTCACTATTTTCAACAATGCCATGATAAAATAAAACAGAATGGGAGAGTAGAGGAAATAGAGAACTTGAAAAAATTCACGGAAAAGTGGACTTAAAGGTAAATTTATTTTGGCACAAAAATTTTTAAAAGCCATGAGTAGTTTTTTCATAATATACATTTTCCATGAACCTTTTAAAGACCCCTCATATTTGGGATCATGGGATAGTGAAATAAATCATTACTCACTAATTCTCAAAGTGCTACATGTGCTGCCCAAAGTATTGTATTAGTTTTCAAGAAGGTAGAAAATAAATTTTTGATATCTGTGTTTAGCATTACTCAACACAATTGAGAATTCATAATTTTTTTACTCGCCACCCGTATCAGCAGAGTGAGTATGATTTGCAGAGGAAGCCGTTCAGAAGATGGCACAGAAAGACAGCAGCACTCTCTAATGATAATGATGAAGCCGAAAGTAGAAGGGAAATCTCAGAATGAGTCTTCAGATAATAGCATCCCAGATAAATTTCCTCAAGAATCATTTTCTAATTTCAAAAAGGAAATGTGGCATTCTCATCCAGTGAGCCATTCAACCGGAAGGGATTTTCTCATGCCCTGTTTCCCAAAAAACGATCCTGGACCACCCCATTTTGCTAAAAGGACAGCACTGAGTGACAGTATCTTTTCATCTTATATGACGACTGATCAAAGTGTACTTGATACAAAGGTTTCATTCTTGATAAAATTTCTAAAAAAGTTGTTCTTCACTATTATTTGAATCTTCTATAAATTACTTATAAAGTAAACTCAAAGACAAAGAAAAGAAAAAAGAAAGAGCCATCGGCCCCAGATGCTCAATAGTAAGGACTATCTTTCCCAGTACACCAAAGGTTATGGGTAAAATGCCGACAATGATTCCCACACAAAGAACATACCATAGAAATAACAGCTGTTGATGGTGCTGCTGCTGATGCTATTTTTACCACAGAGAAAGGAAAGGAGGAGAGACTAAAGCAGTGGCTTGTCAAGGCCAACACTTAACTATTTGATGAAGCCTAAAAGAAAGTCTGAGGCCAAAGAGAGAAAATGGAGTCTCATCCACATTCTGAAACTCAAAAACTTTGGAGTACCAAAGTCTTGTTTTTCTTTCATTAAGTTAGGCATTGAACTAATTTGCCAGCAAAACCTGTAAACAAGTTATTGTAAATAAATACAGATACATTTCACCATAGAAATAATGTATGTGATTATGGGTGTCAACTCAAATCCTGCTAGTATAATATATGATATACAAATATTATTACCTTACTAAATCTGTAAAATTCTGAATTCTAAAATATATCTGATAACAGGGTTTCTGATTAGAGATTATGGATTTGTGGACATATATCATAATAAATGATTCTCAGCTGTTCACTTCTCTTTCTTAATGTATCCAATGCAGCTTAATAAAATCAAGAGATGGGGAAGGAAAAGGAGGGAGGGAGGAAGGCAAGGAAAGGAGGAGGGGAAAAGAAAGAACACATGCTCTAAAAGTCACCATGAAAACAGCATCAAATAAGATTTCAAAGTGAATGTCTGAGCAGCCCGAAATAAATGCAATTAGGCACTGGAGAACCTTTGACATAAGCCTTAAGACAACTATAAGAAGTAGAGGATAAACTGTTGCGAGACAACTGTGACACTTTTGTAGAAGACATTTGTAGAACTCTAAGAGTACTATATCTAAGGCTGTCATCATTTGCGACAGCTTCTGAATGACAGAATGGTACTGTCACAGCCATCAAGGGAGCTGACCTCTCTTAACCCCAGCTACTCCTCTCCAGGTCCCCAGCCCTCCAGCCCTCCAGTCTCTCTGAAGCTGCCCAGCCTCCAGTCTCTCTCAATGCCCCCTGCCCCTGTGGCCAGGGCACCCATACTCTAGCCACATCTGTTCTACTGAATTGCTAAGCCTCACCATTTTCCCCCAGAAGATGTGGCGTCTGTGGCTCTTGCTCAGGCTGGCTGTTCACAGACCGGAGCTGGTGACTGAAGGACTCCTGCACTGCTCCAGGCGGCACCATCTTCTGAGGAGGCACTTCAGGACACGCAACAATCTGACAACCACAAAAACAGCCAATCAGCATGGTTTACAGAGAAGGTAAAATAATCCAGTAGGCACATTAGACTTTCATTCATTCCTTAGCCCAATTATTTAATGTACATCTATAATGAGTCAGGCACTTATTACGCAGTGGTTTAATAAACATGGCTCACTTCTCGTTGGAGAAGACTTTTGTGAAACACACCAACACACAAATAAATGCTAATCACAAACTGTGCTGCATGTTATGAGGGAGAATATAGTGCCACAAGACAGAACAGGTAAGACTGACTCACTTTTCTGAGGAAGCGTCACTTAAGGAAACACCTAAAGGAAAAGAAAGCCGCCAGGAATAAAGGAGGCAGAAGCAACTCAGGCAGAGAGAACATCAGCAACACCCACAGGCAGAAAGAGGGTGTTTGGTACATCAAGGAATCATAAGAACATCAGTGTAGATCAAGTTCAGTGAAGGGAGAGGTGAGAAAAGACGTTGGAAAGGTCATTATAGGACTCAAGAAGTCACACTTGGATAGACCAACATTAAAACTTAAGCTATGGGGGTGGCACTGTGGCACAGCCGGTAGAGCTGCTGCTTGCAGTGCCGGCATCCCATATGGGTGCCGGTTCTAGTCCCTGCTGCTCCACTTGCGATCCAGCTCTATGACCTGGGAAAGCAGTAGAAGATGGCCCAAATCCTTGGGCCCCTCCACCCATATGGGAGACCCAGAAGAAGATCCTGGCTCCTGGCTTCGGATCACCGCAGCTCCAGCTGTTGCAGCCAGTTGGGGAGTGAACCAGTGGATGAAGACTTCTCTCTCTCTCTGCCTTTGCCTCTCTGTAACTCTGCCTTTCAAATAAATAAATAAATCTTAAAAAAAAAAAAAAAATAGTTCACATCCATCATGCTACAGCCCTCTGCCTCCTGTTCTTGGCTCTGGCTCAATTCTACAGCACACAAAACCATTCTGCCATAACCACACTTTAGAACCTGCCTATTAAGGCACTGGCTTGGTACCAGATACTGGAAGATATTAAGATCCCACACTGAAGCCGGCGCCGCGGCTCACTAGGCTAATCCTCCGCCTAGCGGCGCCGGCACACCGGGTTCTAGTCCCGGTCGGGGCACCGGATTCTGTCCCGGTTGCCCCTCTTCCAGGCCAGCCCTCTGCTGTGGCCAGGGAGTGCAGTGGAGGATGGCCCAGGTGCTTGGGCCCTGCACCCCATGGGAGACCAGGAAAAGCACCTGGCTCCTGGCTCCTGCCATCGGATCAGCGCGGTGCGCCGGCCGCAGCGCGCTGGCCGCGGCGGCCATTGGAGGGTGAACCAACGGCAAAGGAAGACCTTTCTCTCTGTCTCTCTCTCTCTCACTGTCCACTCTGCCTGTAAAAAAAAAAAAAAAAAAAAAAAAAAAAAAAAGATCCCACACTGAGATATCCTCCTCCCCCACCTCCCTTGAGTTGTGAAGCACTTGAACCCTCTGAGTACCTGTAAAATGTAGTGCAGAATTTAGATTAAGAGGCAGCTGCAAAACACTGTGGTAAACCCATTCTAGGGGTTAGCACTGTAGTGCAGTGAGTGAAGCCACCACCTGCAATGCCGGCATCCCATATGGGCACTGGTGCTCTACTTCCAATGCAGGTCCCTGCTAATGGCCTGGGAAAAGCAGAAGATGGCCCCAAGTGTGTGGGCCTCTGCCAACCATGTGGAAGACCTGGATGAAGCTCCTGACTCCTGGCTTTGGCCTGGCCTAGCCCTGGCTGTTGCAGCCCCTGGGGAGTGAACCAGTGGATGGAAGATTTCTCTCTCTCTCTCTCTCTCTCTCTCCCTTCCTCCCTCCCTCCCTCTCTGTTAACCTTTCAAATAAATAAAACAAACAAACAAACACTATGTCTGGAAGTTTGTGCATCCTCATGGATGTGCTCAGAACAAGAGTCAGGAAGATCTCAAGTATTTAAAAGGCACCAGGACACCAAAGAAGGAAAGCAACCGCGGCGGGCCACGGGAACACAGGAGTGAGAATGGAGCCAGAGAAAGCATTTGGCAGAGGCAAGAACTGTTTGGAGGTAAACTTGAGAGAAAGCAATGGGGAGACCAGTAGGCAGGTGGAGGAGAAGGCCAAAAAGTGAGCTTGCGGCCTAAGGGAAAATCCCCGCTATGGGCTTCAGATCCCTAATTGCCACCAGGAAATGAGGTCTCTTTTTCACTTACATATCACAATGAGAGAGGTAAACGTATAACTACTGCTGTAAATTCCCTATTTAAAAATCCTTTCAGTTTTAACCGATGCTTTTATCTATTTGTTTCTGTAAAACAGCATGAAAAACTGTGGTCATTAGTGTACCAAACTAGGTCAAAAAAGGAATAACTGGATGTCACCTTGAACCTTACTTCATGTACTGACTGAGAGATGCAAATGTTCCCATGTGGAAGACAATATCTCAGGACAGCCATAGGTCTGCTACCTGAGCTGCTCCCTACATCACGGACAGAGATGAACCAGTCTAAGAGCCTGAGGAGGTTCCGGAATATGAGGTGTCCCTCATGAAAAGGGTGAGAATGATGAGAGTAGGGACCACGCTGTGGTGTAGCGGGTAAAGCCACCACCTGCCGTGCCAGCATCACATACAGGCACTAGTTCCAATTCCAGCTGCTCCACTTTCCATCCAGCTCTCTGCTATGGCCTGGGAAAGCAGTAAAAGATGGCCCAAGTCCTTGGGCCCCTGCACCCACGTGGGAGACCCAGAAGAAGTTCCTGGCTTTGGATTGGCTCACCTCTGGATGTTGTGGTCATTTGGGGAGTGAACCAGTGGATGGAAGACTTCTCTCTCTCTCTGCCTCTCTGTAACTCTTTCAATAAATAAATATTAAAAAAAAAAAAAAAATAAGAACGCTCGGCCAGTGCCGTGGCTCAATAGGCTAATCCTCCGCCTTGCGGCACCGGCACACCGGGTTCTAGTCCTGGTCGGGGCGCTGGATTCTGTCCCGGTTGCCCCTCTTCCAGGCCAGCTCTCTGCTGAGGCCCGGGAGTGCAGTGGAGGATGGCCCAAGTGCTTGGGCCCTGCACCTCATGGGAGACCAGGAGAAGCACCTGGCTCCTGCCATCGGATCAGCGCGGTGCGCCAGCCACAGCGTGCCAGCCGTGGCGGCCATTGGAGGGTGAACCAATGGCAAAGGAAGAGGAAGACCTTTCTCTCTGTCTCTCTCTCTCACTGTCCACTCTGCCTGTTGAAAAAAAAAAAAAAAAAAAAAAAAAAAAGAATGCTGAGACTAGCACCTCACACTTAACAACAACTCTCATGAATGAGGGAAATTCTAACTAGCTTCAAACTTTGTAAATCCATATTTTGGATGAAAGGCAGAGCAAGAGAGAGACAAAGAAAGACCTTCCATCTGCTGTTCACTCTCCAAATGGCCACAACAGCCAGGGCTAGGCCAGGACAAAACCAGAGGCCAAGACTCCATCCAGGTCTCCCACATGGGTGGCAGGAGCCTAAGTGTTTTGGCCATCTTCCACTGCCCTGAGATGCATGAACAGGAAATTGGATCAGAAGCACAGCAGGGGCCTGCGCTGTGGCATAGTGGGTAAAGCTGCCGCCTGTAGCCAGCATCCCATATGTGCACTGGTTTGAGTCCTGGCCATTCTACTTCCAATCCAGCTCTCTGATATGGCCTGGGAAAGCAGAAGATGGTCCAAGTCCTTGGGCCTCTGCACCCATGTGGAAGACCCAGAAGAAGCTCCTGGCTCCTGGTTTTGGATTGGCGCACCTCTGGATGTTGTTCTCATTGGGGAGTGAACCAGCACATGGAAGATCTCTTTCTCTCTCCCTCTCCCTCTCTCTCTGTGTAACTCTGACTTTCAAATAAATAAATAAATCTTAAAAAAAAAAAAAAAGAGAGAGAGAGAGAGAAGGGGCCAGTGCTGTGGCGCAGCAGCTTAATGCCCAGACCTGAAGCACTGGCATCCCATATGGGTGCCAGTTCAAGGCTCGGCTGCTCCAATTCCAATCCAGCTCTCTGCTATGGCCTGGGAAAACAGCAGAAGATGGCCCAAGTGCGTGGGCCCTGGCACCCACTTGGGAGACTCGGAAGAAGCTCCTGACTCCTGCCTTAGGATCAGCGCAGCTCCAGCCCTTGCAGCCATCTGGGGAGTGAACCAGCAGATGGAATACCCCTCCTCTGCCTCTCCTCTCTCTGTGTTAACTCTGACTTTCAAATAAATCTTTTTTTTTTTTTTTTTTTTACAGGCAGAGTTAGTGAGAGAGAGAGACAAAAAGGTCTTCCTTTTCCATTGGTTCACCCCACAAATGGCCGCTACAGCCGGCGAGCTGCACTGGCGCACCACACTGATCTGAAGCCAGGAGCCAGGTGCTTCCTCCTGGTCTCCCATGCTGGTGCAGGGCCCAAGCACTTGGGCCATCCTTCACTGCCTTCCCGGGCCACAGCAGCGAGTTGGACTGGAATAGGAGCAACCAGGACAGAATCCGGCGCCCGAACCAGGACTAGAAACCAGGGTGCCGGCACCGCAGGCAGAGGATTAGCCAAGTGAGCCGCGGCGCCGGCCAATAAATAAATCTTTAAAAAAAGATATATGTAGGTGATAGTTACAAGAACAAACAGAAAAAAATTAAAGATAGAGATGCTATGAAATCAAATTACTATAAGAAACAATCATTTCAGAGAAATAACAGAACAAAAAGTAGATATAAATATTTGGCTGGAAACTATGTGACTACAATTACCCCCCCCCCCCCCCCCCAAAAAAAAAAGAAGCAAAGCACCAAGTCTCTGTCATCCTGATGCAGGATGCTGGCACAAGTGACAGATTAACTGGCTGCACCCCAGCACTGGCCCTTAAACTCAAGATTTTGCTTCTTTGCTATAAAAAGAGAATAAGCAAGTTTAGGAGAACATAAGCCTATCAGTAAGAGGAAGACAGAAGTATCAAGTTGTAACTGAATATAACAAAGGACAAGAAGACACAGCAACATAAAGATATCAATCATCCCCAAACTAATATATGACTTAATGCAATACCAACAATAATACCAACAGGATTTTTGGGGTGGTGGAAACTAAATAAGCAAATCTAAATTTCACAACGGTGTAATGCCAAAAAAAAAATTCAGAGATGGTAAAGATGGTCAGACAACAAAACATTTCACAGAGCTCAAATAATGAAAATACTATACATACAAAGATAGTAAGATGAACAAAACAGAATTAAAAAACTGGAAATAGACTCAAAGACATGCATATTGTTGATAAGTGATAAAACTGGCCTTTTAGTCAGAGAGGGGAAACAAATGGGTTACTATAAAAGTTGCTGGGACAACTGCATAGACATCTAGGGGAAAAAAAAACAACAAAACAAAGACCCTACACCAAAATAAATTCCAGTTGCAGCAATCATTTAAAAGTACAAAAAAAAAAGTGAAGAAACTGTGAGAAAAATTTTTCATATTATTGTAGTAAAGACCTAATTATGTGATGAAACCCAGAAACCATAGTTAAACTTATTGCATAAAAACTTAAAAACTGGCTGGCGCCGTGGCTCAATAGGCTAATCCTCCACCTGCAGCGCCGGCACACAGGGTTCTAGTCCCAGTCGGGGCGCCGGATTCTGTCCCGGTCGCTCCTCTTCCTGTCCAGCTCTCTGCTGTGGCCCGGGAAGGCAGTGAAGGATGGCCCAAATCCTTGGGTCCTGCACCCACATGGGAGACCAGGAGAAGCACCTGGCTCCTGGCTTCGGATCAGCGTGGTGCGCCAGCCGCAGCGGCCATTTGGGGGGTGAACCAACGGCAAAGGAAGACCTTTCTCTCTCTCTCTCTCTCTCTCTCACTGTCCACTCTGCCTGTCAAAACTTAAAAAAAAAAAAAAATTAAAAACCAGGCCAGCGCTGTGGCATTGCGAGTAAAGCCGCTGCCTACAGCACTGGCATTCCATATGGGCGCCTGTTTGAGTCCCGCCTGATCCACTTCCAACCCAGCTCTCTGCTACGGCCTGGGAAAGCAGTAGAAGATGGCCTAAGTCCTTGGGCTCCTGCACCTACGTGGGAGACCTGGAAGAAGCTCCTGACTCCTGGTTTTGGATTGCCCCAGCTCCAGGACTTGCAGCCATTTGGGGAATGAAACCAGCAGATGGAAGACTTCTCTCTCCCTCTCTCTCTTTCTGCTTCTGCCTCTGCCTCTCTGTAACTCTGCTTTCAAAATAAAATAGATCTTTAAATAAAAAATTCATAACCTGGAAAAACTAAAATCCCTACAACAAAGAAAAACTGGAAAAATAACATCTGCAACTCACATGACAGACACAATGCTTACTGTTTCTTACAGGCAAGGGACAGAAACAGATAATTCACAAAAAAGGTGCACACCCTTAAAAATATGTAGTCAGTCAAAGCCACAAAAGAAATGCATATCAAAATTACACAGAAATGGAATACTGCAATTTTCACATTAACAATAGTCAAAAAAATTGGTAACATTGTCTTAAACTGTGGGAAAAAATTCTCATACATTGTGGTGAGAATGGGGGTGGGTGGGAAATGTGTCAACAGCTATCAAATTTGCAAATGAACCTAAGTCAGTAATTTCACTTCTAAGCAGTCATTCTACAGTTAGTGGTAAACATAAGGGATATTTACTACATTAAAATTTGTTAGTAAAACTTTAGAAACAATCTAAAAGAACAACTTAGGGGCCAGTGATATGGCACAGCAGGCTCATCCTCTGCATGCCTCACTGGCATCTGAGTGCTGATTCAAGTCCAAGTTGCTCCACTTCCCATCCAGCTCCCTGATAATGTGCCTGAGAAGGCAGTGGATGATAGCCCAAGTGCTTGGGCCCCTGCCGTGTGGGAGGAGAAGATGGAATTCCGGGCTCCAGGCTTCAGCCTGGCCTAGCCCCAGACATTGCACCATCTGAAGAGTGAACCAGCAGATGGAAGATCTCTGTCTCTCCGTCATTTTGCCTTTCAAATAAATAAATAAATAAATCTTTAAAAATAAAAGGGGTCTAGCATTGTGGCACAGCAGGTAAAGCCACCACCTACGATGCTGGCATCCCTTATGGGCACCAGTTCAAGATCTGGCTGCTCTGCTTCTGATCCAGCTCCCTGCTAATGCACCTGGGAAAGCAGTGGAAGATGGGCCAAGTGCTTGGGCCCCTGTACCTATATGGGAGACTCAGAGGAAGCTGTGAGCTCCTGGCTTTGGCCTGCATAGCCCTAGCCATTATGGCCATTTGGGGAGTGAACCAGTGGATTGGAGATCTCTGTGACGCTGCTTTTCAAATAAATTAATCTTTAAAAATAAAAGAACAATTTAAATGGAACGCAAATTCTTTCAATGGTAGTTAAATAAATTATGGTTTGTCCACACAACGGACTGTAATAAAGTTTAAACAGACAGTTGCTTCAAAATGTGGAAAACACACTTTTCATCCCATTTTTCCATGAACTGTTGAAGCCCCTCATATTTGTCCTGACATGGAACAAATTAAGCTACACTGTAAGAAAAAAGCAAGTGGCAAAAGTGCACATGGCTTATAAATATATGTTTATATAGAAAGAACACAGTATATCTCTCTAAGATATACAAGTATCAGGTAACAGTGGTTGTCTCTGGAGAGAAGAACGAGGCAGTTGGGAAATCAGGAATGGGAAGAAGACTTACTTTTCATTACAACCTTATGTACCTTTTGGAATTTGTATCATGTCATTCAAGAAATAAATAAAGCAATGTTTAAAATAAATAAAATTGCAGATTGTCTTCTACAGGTTAACACACTGGATTTTGCTTCTCTTTGCTGGAGTGGCAGGAAATCTCCTCAGTGTACCTAATCCCAGGGGAACAAAAGAATATAAATGAAGCACTGGCCGGCTGACTCTCACCCCTGCTTAGCCGCTCCCTAACTCTTCTCCTTCCTCGCTGCTCACGTGCCTCCTCTTGCACTCACCTGTTGCCTACGTTCCTCGAGCTCCCTCTGTATACTTTCAACCACGGCCACGGCCTCTTCTCCGCTCTCAGGGTGATGCTCCCGCACCCAGGCCTGGAACTCTTCCGGCAGGATGGTCAGGAACTGCTCGAGCACCAGCAGCTCCAGGATCTGCTCCTTGGTGTGCAGCTCGGGCCGCAGCCACTCACAGCAGAGCACGCGCAGCTGGCTGAGCGCCTCGCGGGGTCCCGAGGCCTCATGGTACTGGAAGTGCCGGAAGCGCTGGTAGACCGTCTCGAACGCTGGCGGGTGGTACTCCTGCATCCAGGTGCAGTCTTCTTCCTCCACTTTCACTATCAGGAGGTCTTCCTGCTCCTGCGGAGGCTCCGCCGGGGAGTCTAAGTCTGCGACTCGCCGGGATTCCGTCATTATCATTCCAACCCAGGGCTGGCTGCCCTACTCTGACCCAACTTCTCTTCTGCTTCTTACGATCTTCTGAAAGACGCTTTCAGAATCGTACAACCTACTGACACAGCGGGAACCATTATTTAGCAAACACAGATGGCGACAAGGTCCACTCCACAAAGTAATTTACCTAACAGTGGTTTACAAAGCAGCCCTCGATCCACGCATACAACCAGTAGTATCTTCAACACTTAAAAAAAAATGTGATGGAGAACCATGATAACCTGACATCACAGCCTGAGAAGTGAAAAACTTGACATTTCACAGAGAGTGGGGCCAGACGAGCTAACGAGTCCAGTGCAGCGGTTCCTTCTCTCAGACTTCAGTCAGAACAGGGGTGGGAAACATCAAAATGGTCAGAACCGGTCCTGTCCCTCGAGCCACAGACGCGTGACCGATGGGACGCAGCCCTTATTCGTCCCGAGGAGAAGCAGGGGCTTTGCGGGGCAGATTTAGACCTGAATCCCTCGGAATCGCCTTTGACCCCGACAGAGACACGCAGGCGGGCCCGTTCAAGGTTAGAGACAGGACCCCCGTCCGGACACAAAGCCCCACCCCCCGCCTCAAGGCCCCGGGCCCCGGGAGCGCTCCAGGACTGCCAGCTCCCCGCGGCAGAGGCTGAAACGAGGTCTTCCTTACAAACCGAGAGCAAACCGAAGCCGACACTGCCCGACGCTAACTCGCCGGAAGTAAGCAAGTCCTAGCTGCAGCCATCAAGCCCACCCCCGAGAGCACTTCCGAGTCCTCTCTAGGAATCCCGGAGGTCCGCGCCGCGCGGCAGGCGGGAGGTGCCGCCCGGGCCCCGCCCCCGAGGAGGGGAGAGCCAATCGGCGGGGAGATGGGCCGAGGGCCGACAGGCCGCCCGCCGCGACCGGGCCGTCCCCAGAGTCCGCCGGGGACGAACCCGGGGTCACCTCCTCCCCAGGCCACACCACAGCCATCGGAACGGCCCGGGCTCCTCGCCTTTCCGCGCAGTGGGGACGGAGGGCGGGGCCTCAGGGGGTCGGGCAACAGTTGCCAGGGTCTGATTGGCCGTGGGCCGCGCACCGCCCCTCACCCCCAACGCTCTGCGCCCCAATTCGAAGTCGGTCCCGCACCTCTCCGTTGGCCCGCAGCCCTCGCTTATCTGCACTCTGTGACGCCTCAGGGCTTTTTCCGCGCGAATCCTCGCCGCTCCTCCCGCCCCTTCCCCAAACGCACCTTCGTTACCTCAGCGCGCAGGGCCCAACTCCCCAACGTCAGACCCGCGAGTCGCCACAGACCGCGACTCCCGAGACTACGTCTCCCAGAAAGCCTTGCGGGGCCACGCCGGCTAGCCAATAGGGGCGCGGCTCTCCCGGCAGCCTCGGGGGGCGCGGACCTATCGGAATGCGGCCAGGCCAGGAGGCGTGTCCTCGGGCGCCCGGCCGGGCGGCAGGAAACTCCCGGCGAAGCCGCGACGAGGGCGCCTCCGCCCCGCCCGCCCCGTGCTTAGTGCTCGTGTTCCTGTGGTGTCTTAGGGTTTTCGCGGGCTTTCGTTCACAAGACAGTTGGAAAGCTGAACAAGAGTCAGGATTTAGGGGCGCAGAGAAACAGACGCCTTTCTATCTTATTAAAAACCTTAATAAAAAAAAAAACTAAAAAACCCCTTTATATCTTAATAAAAACCTCTCGGTTTTTACTGAGCCGTGGAGCTGGTTGCTTGTCCACGCAGAGCGGTCTCATCCTCTTACTAAGTAGTATAGCATTATCCGAATACGTGGTGTTTAATCCTTCGCGGGTGGACACTGAGGTTATCGTCGTTCTTTTTTCCAGAACAAGGAATGTGCCACGGCATAGCTATCGTTGTACATAAGTCATTTTAGACATGTGCAAGTACAGCTGTGAGATAAATTCTCACAAGTCAAACTGGCGAGCCCAAGGGTACCATATATATTTTCTGTATGTATTAAAAGGACATCTAAGGAAGTTTTTTTTTTTTTTTTTTTAATACAAATGTCTAATGATGCCTCATGTTTCTCTTCTCTGCTCAGGAATGGCTAACAATGCAATTCAAAATCTCTGGCTGGGGCAAGTTTTCATGTCTCATGCCCTAGGTGACAACTGTTTCACCAAAGTTAACCTATTTTTGTTCTCTGAGGTTGGTGTCTGGAAGACTCCACTAGGTATCCCTCTTGGCCTTCCCTGAATGTTTTCTCTATCTTACAACTTTTCAGGAACTCAAAAAAAATAATACAAAGGGTCTTCCAAAAGTCCGCGTGTGTTGTGAAACATACATAAATTTCAAAAAGTAGACCGAAATAAGCATCTCTTTTAATTCCATTTTCCATGAACTTTTTGAAGTACCCTCACACTATCATGAAGAAATGCTCTACCAACCTAGTTCAAAGGCAAAATACGCAAATTGTCAAGTTTAGGAGCCCCCCAAGACAACTCTGAAATCTGACACCAGCTGGAAATTCAGGGGTCTCCAAAACCACTCTGAGGTTTAATAATTTGCTCACTCATGGTTATAGTTTATTACAGCAAAAGGATACAAATCAAAGGCAGCCAAGAGAAGAGCTGTGTGGGACAGGATCTAGAAGAGTTTCAGGCTTGGGGCTCCCACTTGTCCTCTTCCAATGGAGTAGTCAGACAGTGATAACATCTGTGATGTCTGACAACACACAGACAACCAGAGAAGCTCACCTGTGCCTTGCTGTCTCAAGTTTTTATTGGGACTCAGGTGGGTATAGCTTGCCACCCACATGGCTGATCTTAGTCTCCAGCCTCTTCAGAGGTCAAGGTGATAACCCATAGCCCAAGACACCTCCACCACAAATGACATTGGTTGTTTTTCTTTGTTTTTATTTTCTAAGGGAGAGAGAAATATCTTTTATCTACTGTTTCATTCCCCAAATTCCCACAACATCCAGAGCTGGGCCAGACCAAATCCAAGAGTCAGAAACCCCATCCAGGTCTCCCATTTGAGTGTCAGGGACCCAAGTACTTGAGCCATCACCAGCTGCCTCCCAGAGTGTGCATCAGCAGGAAGCTAGAATCAGAAGTAGAGGTGAGACCCAAACCGTGCCCTCAATTACAGGATACAGGTATCCAAAGTGGTGTCTTAACCACTGCAGCAACCCACCTGCCACAAATTACTTTGCTAAAATAAACTATAGATGTGGCCCCCAACCCTGGTATAAACAGAAATTCATAGCAAGCAGGATAGGCCAAGAGCTTAGAGATTACTTCCCATTAGCTGAAGGCAGACCCGACTTCCGACTTCTCTTTGGGCAAGGTGAATCCTTTACTGCACACGTGTTCCAATATTTTTTTTTATTTCTTTTCCCAGTGCTGATCTTAACAGACATTTAGATTTGAACATATAATAGTTTGTAAGCCATGAACAATAGCTGTAGTAGCATTATGAAATTCAACCAACAGAAGAGATTTTTATCTTAGGATTTTTTTAATTTAAAATCCTTGGCCGGCGCCGCGGCTCACTAGGCTAATCCTCCGCCTTGCGGTGCCGGCACACCGGGTTCTAGTCCCGGTCGGGGCGCTGGATTCTGTCCCGGTTGCCCCTCTTCCAGGCCAGCTCTCTGCTGTGGCCAGGGAGTGCAGTGGAGGATGGCCCAAGTGCTTGGACCCTGCACCCCATGGGAGACCAGGAGAAGCACCTGGCTCCTGGCTCCTGCCATCGGATCAGCGCGGTGCGCTGGCTGTGGCGGCCATTGGAGGGTGAACCAGCGGCAAAAGGAAGACCTTTCTCTCCGTCTCTCTCTCTCACTGTCCACTCTGCCTGTGCATACTGACGTGAAAAAAAAAAAAAAAAAATCCCTGGGCTTGGTTTTAGACACAAATGACAGGGTACTAAAAACAGCTTATGGGCCGGCGCCGCGGCTCACTAGGCTAATCCTCCGCCTAGCGGCGCCGGCACACCGGGTTCTAGTCCCGGTCGGGGCGCCGGATTCTGTCCCGGTTGCCCCTCTTCCAGGCCAGCTCTCTGCTGTGGCCAGGGAGTGCAGTGGAGGATGGCCCAGGTGCTTGGGCCCTGCACCCCATGGGAGACCAGGAAAAGCACCTGGCTCCTGGCTCCTGCCATCGGATCAGCGCGGTGCGCCGGCCGCAGCGCGCTGGCTGCGGCGGCCATTGGAGGGTGAACCAACGGCAAAAGGAAGACCTTTCTCTCTGTCTCTCTCTCTCACTGTCCACTCTGCCTGTCAAAAAAAAAAAAAAAAAAAAAAAAAAAAAAAAAAAAAACAGCTTATGGAAAAGGAATTAAAAGATAAGTACCTTAGTGCAAAAAATTTTTTTAAATATATGCATAGGGACTGGCGTTGTGGTGTAGTGGGTAGAACCGCTGACTGTAGCGCTGGTATCCCACATGGGTGCCAGTTCAAGTCCCAGCTGCTCTACTTCTGATCCAGCTCTTTGCTAATGGCATAGGAAAGCAGCAGAAGATGGCCCAAGTGCTTAGGCCTCTGCCAAGTGGGAGACCTGGAAGAAGCTCCTGGCTCCTGGCTTCAACCTGGCACAGCCCCAGCCATTTGTGGCCATTTGGTGAGTGAACCAGCAGACAGGAGATTCTCTCTCTCTCTCCCTCTCTCTCTTTCTATCTCTATCTCTCTCCCTGCCTTTCAAATAAATAAAATAAATATTTTTTTTTAATTTATTCGATAGGTAGAATTATAGACCATGAGAGAGAGAGAGACAAATGTCTTCCTTCTGTTGGTTCACTCCCCAAATGGCTGCTACCCCTGGCACTGTGCTGATCCAAAGCCAGGAGCCAGGTACTTCTCCCTGGTCTCCCATGAGAGTGCAGGGGCCCAAGCACTTGGGCCATTCTCCACTGCCCTCCCGGGCCACAATAGAGAGCTGGACTGGAAGAGGAGCAACCGGGACTAGAACCGGCACCCATATGGGATGCCAGCGCCGCAGGCGGAGGATTAGCCAAGTGAACCACGGCGCCGCCCCCATAAAATAAATCTTTTAAAAAACCAAGAGGGACCGGCACTGTGGCATAGCGAGAAATGCCGCTGCCTGCAGTGCTGGCATCCCATATGGGTGCCAGTTCGAGTCCCGGCTGCTCCACTTCCAATGCAGCTCTCAGCTATGGCCTGGGAAAGCAGTGGAAAATGGCCCAAGTCCTTGGGCCCCTGCACCCACATGGGAGACCTGGAAGAAGCTCCTGACTCCTGGCTTTGGATTGGCGTGGCTCCGGCCATTGTGGGAGTGAACCAGCGGATGGAAGACCTTTCTCTCTCTCTCTTTCTGCCTCTGCTCTCTGTAACTCTGCCTTTCAAATAAATAAATCTTTAAAAAAATAAAAAAAAAAAGAAAATCATGTAAAGGTTTTCCATAACATGCATTTTCCATGACCCCATTTGAAGTCCCTTTCATCAAAATAATCTTTTAATTCTATTTACTATGAACATTTTGGATTCCCTTCGGATGTATTAATTATGAAATAGATGATGTTTGGTTTTTAGGATCTTTGCCTCCTGTGACCTTCAACCACGCCCAGCTCTGGTCCCTTTCCACTCCTACCCTCTGCCCTAACATCTCTTCAGACACGTATCTCCTCAAACCAACAGTTTATATTGAATATCCACTGTGTTCCAGCCATAGTTCAAGGTGATGAGTATCCAAGAGTAACCAAGACAGACAATGACAACTTCCCTTCTCAAAAGAGCTTTTGTGTGATCTGTTACCCAGCAATGGGGTCTGGCACTGTGGCAAAGCAAATTAATATGGGCTCTGGGTTTTGTCTCCGCGGCTTTACTTCCCATCCAGCTCCCTGCTAATGGCCTGGGAAAAGCAACAGAAGATGGCACAAGTGTTTGGGCCCCTGTTACCCATGTGGGAGACCCAGATAAAGCTCCTAGCTCCTGGCTCCTGCCTTTGGCCTGGCCTCGTGCTGGCCATTGCAGCCATCTGGGGAGTGAAACAGCAGGTGGTAAATTGTTCCCTCTCTTTCTGTCTCTCCCTCGCTCTCTACAGAGAGGAAGAGTTACAACTCTTCCAAATAAATAAAACAAATCTTTTAATAAAACAATCTAGCAATGTTTGAAATAGATTTTTGGCTCTATTTTATCCCTGTTTTAGATACCAGAAAAATAAATCTCATAATCCTTAAATGACTTCTGTAAAGTTATATCTCAACATTTTGTTGAAATAAAGTCTAGATCTTTTGACTGCTAATCCAGGGCTCTTAATACTACATCACTCAAAGTTTTGTTAAAATAAATCTCTAATTTATTTCTAAGTTAAGGATTGGGGCCAGCGTTTTGACATGGGGCCACCATTGTGGCGCAGCAGGTTAAACTGCTGTCTGTATCACTGGCATCCCATACGAACTCCAGTTCGAATCCCAGCTGCTCCACTTCTGATCCAGCTCCCTCTTAATGGGTCTGGGACAAGCAGAAGGTAGTCTGAACACCTGGGCCCCTGCCACCCATGTGAGAGAGCTAGATGGGGAGTTAGGTTTTGCCATCCTGCCCTACGAGCTATGTAAATGTTGGGCACATCCCTTATTTTTTCTGGTTCTCAGGTAATAGCATTAACCCAGACAGTTGTTGTGAGAACTGAGACATACCTCTTCAGAGTTTGGCACATAATAAGTGGTAAGTAAATGTTGGCTTTCATTATGAATCGTACTATCCAGAAGGCAAAGGCTCTGTGAGGCAGAAGGTAGAGAAGGCTGGAAGTCTTTCTGTGAGCACAGGAGAGAAAATTACTGGGCCCAGCATGTGGCACAGTGGGTTGAGCCACCGCCTACAACTCCAGTATCCCACATGAATACCCGTTCAAGTCAGATCCAGCTCCCTGTTCATGCTCTTAGGAAAGTGGCGGCAGAAGATGGCTCGCTCACTCGCTCTCTCTCTCTCAAATAAATAAATACTTTTTTTTTTTTTTTTTTTTTGGACAGGCAGAGTGGACAGTGAGAGAGACAGAGAGAAAGGTCTTCCTTTGCCGTTGGTTCACCCTCCAGTGGCCACCACGGCCAGCGCACTGCGCTGATCCGATGGCAGGAGCCAGGTGCTTCTCCTGGTCTCCCATGGGGTGCAGGGCCCAAGCACTTGGGCCATCCTCCACTGCACTCCCAGGCCACAGCAGAGAGCTGGCCTGGAAGAGGGACAACCGGGACAGAATCCGGCGCCCCGACCGGGACTAGAACCCAGTGTGCTGGTGCCGCAAGGCGGAGGATTAGCCTAGTGTGCCACGGCACTGGCCAAATAAATAAATCTTAAAAAAACAAAAAACAAAAAACAAAAAACCAAACCTGCTAGCCGCTCTCAATTGTTTCTCCCTTTATCCTGAATATCACCTTTCACTTGGCCCTTTAGAGCCTAAATCCTTCTCATAAGTTCATATTACAGATCTATATAGTGCATATGTTGCAGATTGACTTATGCTTCCCAAGAATTCTTATATTGAAGTCTCAGGCCCCAGTTAACTCAGATAACTCAGAAGGTGAGCTTACTTGGAGAAAAGGTCTTTACCAAGTTAAACTGAGGTCATTATGGTGTTTCCTAATCCATTAGATCAATATCAATATGAGTATAAAGAGGAAATTTGGGGCCAGATGAAGCAAGCAGGGAAAAGCCGCTGAAGCCCGGAGTCAGGAGCGTCATCGAGGTCTCCCACGCGCGGGTGCAGGGGCCCAAGCACGTGGGCCATCTTCCGCTGCTTTCCCAGGCCATAGCAGGGAGCTGGATGGGAAGTGGAGCAGCCGCGACAGGAACTGGCGCCCGTATGGGCTGCCGGCACTGCAGGTGCTGTACCAGCAAGTCACCAAATTCCACCTGCTGCCTTTCTGGGAGCGGAAGCGCAGCGGGCGGTCCAGTGCGCTTCTTCAATGAATGAGAGAGACCGAACGAGGCCCTTTGAGGCGAAAAGCAATTGCAGTTAGTGAACACCGCAGCAGTGGAAAGCTCTGGGTGTTGAGGTTTGACATGAGGATGCTGGTCCGTCCACCGGATCCCCAGCCGCACGACAAGTCTCCTTTCTCCAGGCTCAGTTGTCCTCGTCTTAGGATCGGAGGCGATGACATCTGACTTACACGGCAATGAATTTTAAAATGTTTTCTCTCTCCCAACCCCGTAATTGCCTTCGCCGGCAGTCGGCCACCACCTCCCAGGCCCGTTATTTTTCTGCGCTGCAAGACGCGGCCACTGGGGAACCTGCGGTCCCAGGTGCGACCGGAGCCGGAAACCACCGAGTCGCATCTCATTCCTCCGGGATGCCTAGAGCGGCCCCGGAAATGCCGGGGAGTGTCCAGCAGGGAGTGGGTGACGCACTTCCTTCCGGGGGTGGATTTGTTTCTGTCCAGGGTCTGAGCGGGCTGTGAGCGCGGTGTTTGCGGTTCGGAGGGCGTGAAGGCGCGGGGGCTGTTCCCGCAGGGGTCCGGTGTTTAGGACCGGAAGGCCGATGAGCTCCTGGGGCTTGATCTCCTCTTGCCTGAAGCCGAGACTCTGGGAAAGTCCGCGCATGCCGGCGCGAGCTGAGCCGGAGCGCTGCCGCCCAGAGGCTCGGGTGGCCGGGAGGTCCGGGGCCGCGGGGCCGCCCCTGCGCGAGGAGCTGGTGATAGTGAAAGTGGAGGAAGACCCAGCCGGAGGGCGGGAACCCGAGCCGCCAGGGGCCTGGCCGGACCCGGAGACGTCCCGGCAGCATTTCAGGCAGCTGAGTTACCAGGAAGTGGCCGGCCCCGAAGAGGCGCTGAGGCGGCTCCGGGAGCTCTGTCGCCGGTGGCTGCGGCCCGAGCTGCACTCCAAGGAGCAGATCCTGGAGCTGCTGGTGCTCGAGCAGTTCCTGACCATGCTGCCCGAGGAGCTGCAGGCCTGGGTGCGGGAGCACTGCCCGGAGAGCGGGGAGGAGGCTGCGGCCGCGGTGCGGGCCCTTCAGAGCGCGCTGGACGGGGCCTCACCGCAGGTGAGCGGCGAGCGGCCTCTTCCAGGCTGCGCGTCCTGTCTGCCCTCTGTTCTGTGTCGTGACTCCGCGACGTGCAGGAAACAGCGGACAATTAACTGAGCAGAAAACCCACCTCGGATTACACCCTCTCGTTGTGGTAGAGGCCAGGATGCAGCCTTGGTTCTGACCTTCAGCCGCTTAGGCTAGAACAGCGGTCCCCCCCAGCACTGTGGGCGTGAGGACCCCTTGGTGGCTTGTTAAGGTTTCGGCAGCCTCTCGTCTTCCACATTGATAATTTTTATTTTTCAGTCTGCAAACACTGCTTGGTGTTCCGTGACAGGTTTGTAGCACAGTGGCAATGAGCTTTCAGCAAAAGGAGATTTCATTTGCCAGACCAAAAAAAAAAAAAAAAGTCATATTTTGGCCGTGCTTGAAGGCAGAGTTTCAGTGTCCAGCACAGTGGACGTCGCGGGCAGTACTTGCTTGTTAAGGGGAGCTGTCCTGTGGGTTTTAGGATCACTCAGCAGCGTTCCTGGCCTCCGCCCACTAGGTGCATTGACCAGCGGCCACCACCGCTAAAACCGGCCCCAGGGTGGCCAGATGTCCCTTGGGATGCAAAAGCGCCCCCAGTTGAGAACCAGTGATCTAAGACATAGAATTCTGGAAATTCTCATCCAGCATTTGTGTCTGTGGTAGAGTGGACACAGTCTTGTCCCTGCCGAAAACTTTGGGTCAGCTTCCTTGCTTCCATGTGCAGAGGTAAGGTCACTGGTTCAACTCCTCAAGTCACACATCTGGATCTACACTTAATTTGTAATAGTGTGTCTTCTTTCCGGAAACTTCCTTTAGTGTAATTGCAGGCTAATGGCGGGCCAGTGTTATTAAAAGCCCTGTGGCAAGAAGGAATACCTGCAGAAGATTTGCTGAAGGGTATAAAGGCCGTCCTTCATTTCCTCTGAAAAGTTCTGACTTTGTTAAAGGAGGTGAGCCAGGGGCCGGTGCTGTGGCAGAGCAGGTAAAAGCCGCTGTCTGCAGTGCCTCATCCCATATGGGCGCTGGGTCAAGTCCTGGTTGCTCCGCTTCCAGCTCCCTGCTAATGTGCCTGGGAAAGCAGTGGAGGATGGCTCAAGCCCTTGGGCCCCTGCACTCACATGGAGACCCGAAAGAAGTTCCTGGCTCCTGGCTTTGGATGGCTCAGCTGCAGCCATTGTGGCCATTTGGGGTGTGAACCAGCGGATGGAAGATCCTCTCTCTGCTTCTGCTTCCTTTCAAATAAATAAATAAATCTTAAAAAAAAAAAAAAAAAAAGAGGTGGGCCTAGGAAGGAAAAGGCAAGGTATCAGAATAACCTAGAAGACTTTTTTCAACTTATTTAGGGTCCTGTGGTCAGTACGTGGAGAACTAGAATTCAGCTCCAAGCAACTGGTTGCAGAGTCTGCGCTTAACCCTAAGACCGTGCTATTTGCTGGGAAGAGTCTAAGAGAATCAGCAGTGAGATTCAGGCTGGGTTCCTCTTGGTTTCCACCCTCATGCTTGGGTGATGATCATCATCAGAACTAGAATCCTGCTCCTGGACAGCAGGTTCTTAGTAGGGATCTCGTGTTGTTCCAGGAGTCGGTGACATTCGAGGATGTGGCTGCTTCTCTGACCTGGGAGCAGTGGGAGCGCGTGGACCCAGCCCGGAGGGACTTGTGCAAGGACAGTGCACGGGAGGTCTACGGGGGCACCATCCCAGCTGGTGAGTGCTGTTACTCTGCCCCTTCTCAGGGGGTGTGGTCTGTGAAGGGCGGGGTTCACTATCAAACTCACAGGTGGGGGCTGAGCACCCTAGAGTTTCTTTTGTGACCCAGGCAGGACTTTTCTGTTCTTTTTGCTAGGGGTTAGATGAAACTTTTGATTTTGGTTCATTTTTAGTGTTTCATATATACAGGAAAAAAAAAAAAAGATAATGGACATTTGAGTGCCACCAAGGTTTTTCAGATCTTAATATCTGGCCCTTGAGAAATAATATGTTACAGGTGTAGAGGAAGTCACCCATACCCTCCCAGAAGCTGTTCCCCTCTCTGCTTCTCCAGAGAAAATCAGTATCCAGTATCCTGGTATTTATCATTTCCATGCATATTTTATATTTCTACATCTACATCTTTTGTGGCCACAAACGATTTGTCTTCACTGTGATTCTTTTTACTCACAATCACAAGTTTGAGATATGTCCGTGTTGACACATGGAGATCTGTATAACCACCAGTGCATTTGACCATATGAATACTCAGAATTCCATCCATTCTCTCAGTGGGCATTTAGGCACATAGTTTTTCACCATTACTATACCTTGACCAATCATTCTTGTCAGTTTCCTGGTATTCTAATGTAGGAGTTTCTGAAGAGATACACTTCGAGATGTATGCCCATCTTACTATCCAGCAGTATACGGCAATTTTTCTTTTTCCACTTTCTCATCTACATTTGTTGTTATTGGCTGATGGCTTCCTTCCACTTGTCTGTTCACGTCTCTGGTCTTTCCCCATTTATTCCATTATCTTTTTTTAAATGACTTTATGGCAGTTCTTTATGTGTTTGGTACAAGTACGTTGTTCCTTTATTGGTTATTTAGTTGGCTTCTCTTTTGTTATTAGAATTTAAATTTCGGAGCTGACCCTGTGGCATAGTGGGCTAAGCCTCCACCTGCGGTACTGGCATCCCATATGGCTGCCGGTTCAAGTCCCAGTGCTCCACTTCCGATCCAGCTCTCTGCTATGGCCTGGGAAAGCAGTAGAAGATGGCCCAAGTCCTTGGGCCCCTGCACCCCTGTGGGAGACATATCTTCCAGAGAATATATACTTGGGAGCTAAATCTTTTGAAATTTTGCATGTCTGAAAATGTCTTTATTTCTGTCTCACATTTGCATCCTTCTAGGTTAAATGCTGCAGGTTAAGTGTTTTTGAGTAGCAGAGAGCTCCATCCCATCCTGAGGTTCACTCCCCTAATGCCTGGATGACTAGGGGTAGGCCAGGATGGAGCCAGGGACACAGTCCAGATCTCCCCATGGGTGGCAGAAACCTAATCACTTGAGCCATCACTGCTGCCTTTAAGATCTGTATTAGCACGAGTTGAACTAGAGCCAGGTTTCAAACCTAAGCGCTGTGACGTGAGATGCAGGCATCTTCATTAGGCCATAGAAATGATGTAGAGGCAGTACATTTCTAGCTAGTTTAGCATGCTACTATTGAGAAATCTGATGCCTAGAGGTATTTTGTCCTTGCTGCATGCAATATTTTTTCTATATAATGTGTGGGTTTTTTTTTTTTTTTTTTTTTTTTTTGACAGAGTGGACAGTGAGAGAGAGAGAGACAGAGAGAAAGGTCTTCCTTTTGCCGTTGGTTCACCCTCCAATGGCCGCCGCGGCCGGCGCGCTGCGGCCGGCGCACCGCGCTGATCCGATGGCAGGAGCCAGGAGCCAGGTGCTTTTCCTGGTCTCCCATGGGGTGCAGGGCCCAAGCACCTGGGCCATCCTCCACTGCACTCCCTGGCCACAGCAGAGGGCTGGCCTGGAAGAGGGGCAACCGGGACAGAATCCGGCGCCCCTACCGGGACTAGAACCCGGTGTGCCGGCGCCGCTAGGCGGAGGATTAGCCTAGTGAGCCGCGGCGCCAGCCTTTTTTTTTTTTTAAGTTTTGTTTTATTTTTCTGAAAGTCAGAGTTAGAGAGAGAAAGGTCTTCCATCCGCTGGTTCACTCCCCAATTGGCTGCAACGGCTGGAGCTGCGCCAATCCAGAGCTAGGAGCCAGGAGCCATGAGCTTCTTCTGGGTCCCCTACGTGGGTGCAGGGGCCCAAGGACTTGGGCCATCTTCTACTGCTTTCCCAGGCCACAGCAGAGAGCTGGATCAGAAGTGGAGCAGCTGGGACTTGAACCGGCAGCCATATGGGATGCCAGCACTGCAGGCGGTGGCTCCACCTGCTATACCACAGCACCAGCCCCTGTATATAATGTTTTAACAAAAACTTCTGGCTGGGAGAAACCGCCCCTCTCAGGACTTGCCAGTTCTCAGAAGCAGCAGAGGGTCCAGGCTTTGATGCACAAACTGACAATCCAGAGCCCAGCCTCCTCTGTCATCCTGTACACCCAGGAAGCATTGTTTCTCAGCCTCCATCATCCCAAGGCCAAATGCCAGATGACTAGGGACCACACCCGTGGCTTGCAGCCCAGTGAAATTATTCACATTAGCCAGGCCTAACCTGTTGACCCTCCTGCCATGCCTTCTTATGAACACTCCCATGAAGGTCATGGCTTAGGCTGTGCCCTTGCTCCTGTGTGGCATGGCGTGCCTCCTGTCTCCAGTATCTAGCTGAGAGTATAAACCTTGCTTTCCTGATACTTTCTTGTGTCTTCTCTTGGGGCCACACCTGACGGTCACCTAAAAGACAGAGCAGAATGTGATCTCTTTGTTGTGTGCAGAGACTTTTAGGATCTTTTCTGTATTCCTGGTAGAATGAAATTCCACAATATGTGTGACTTGATATGAATTCTTTCAAATTACTCATTGTTCTGTGTAGTTAGTCTTTCCAATATAGATGTTGATGTCTGAATTGTGAGAAATATTTAATAGTATTCTTTTATTTATATTTATTTTTATTGCATTTTTTTCTGTTCCTTTTCAGGAATTTCTTTTAGTCGAGTGCTAGAACTGATGGATTGATGATCTAGCTCTCTTGCAGTCTCCTGCGTCCTAGATGTAGTATCTTACTTACCTGAGAATATTGATTTTAGGTTATCAAATTGTCTTTTATTTCGAGTGGGACGTGCTCCACCAGCATGTGTATTAGAGGATTTCTTGAAATGTTGGTAACCTTTCATTTTCCATTTGTAGCTAATAGTCAGACATAAGAATTCGGTCCAGAAATTCTTCCAGAGGGCCAGCGCCGCAGCTCACTAGGCTAATCCTCTGCCTTGCAGTGCCGGCACACTGGGTTCTAGTCCTGGTCGGGGCGCCGGATTCTGTCCCGGTTGCCCCTCTTCCAGGCCAGCTCTCTGCTGTGGCCCAGGAAGGCAGTGGAGGATGGCCCAAGTGCTTGGGCCCTGCACCCCATGGGAGACCAGAAGCACCTGGCTCCTGCCTTCGGATCAGCGCGGTGCGCCGGCCGCAGCGCAGCGGCCATTGGAAGGTGAACCAACGGCAAAGGAAGACCTTTCTCTCTGTCTCTCTCTCTCACTGTCCACTCTGCCTGTCAAAACAAAACAAAACACAAAACACAGAAATTCTTCCAGAACGGGTTGGAACGTGTTGACTGTGTTCTTCACTATGGGGTTGGTCATCAGGTGCTGTTTTCCTTGAGAATCCCCTTCCTCCAAGGGTTTCTCAGTCTTTTGGCCGGGGCCAAAATGTTACCGTAGATTCAGCCAACAAATATTTATGGAGTTTGCATGATAAGCTGTAATAAGCATTTAGCTTCTATAAGTGCTGGGGATAGAACTGTGAGTGAAGTCTGCACACGGACATAAAAATCCCTGTCCTCTCGGCCTGGAGCTAACAAATCAGGCCCTGCACAGAAGGAAGTGTGGGAAGCTTCTCCCAATTGTGTGTCCATTTTTACTTGATTCCTCTGTTTCCTGTTCTCAGCTGTGCCTGATGTCCCTGCTCCAGAATATAGCCAGTTCAGCCTTCCTGGAGAGTCAACTGTAAAAATTCCAGTTTGTCTAATGCCTTCCTTGTTCCTTGATGGACTTGCAGCAGTCCCAGGCTGTGTTCCACGCAGACCCTGCCTTCAGACACTGCAGGCAGCAGCTGTATCTACTGCTGTAACTCATCACGTGACGAGGATTTCTCTGGCTGAACCATCCTTCCTGCAGGGCTAACGGCTGCACTGCTCTCCCTGACAGCCCCTCCAAATGCAAATAAATGTACCTCTCCTACCACAGGGACTTAGACAGCAGCCAAGTGGGGCAGGGGAAGAGGGGATGGGTTGGTGGGCATAGGCACGAGTCTAAAAGGAAAAAAAGTGAGTTTGCACTGGTAAATGTGAATACGTCTGACAGGTTAATTAAAATAATTTCACTTCAAGAGTGGTTTAATGGAGAATACTTTTAAAAGGTTTTGGGGGGTTGTTTCTCTGCTAGCTCTTGCTTCGTCCACTCTGACGTGGGGATAAAATGGCAGCCATTTTTATTTTAATGTTTCAGGTTTGGAGACCAGAGCTGAAACCAAAGAGTTGATTCCAAAGCGAGAAATGTCAGAAGTAGAGCCACAGGGGCAGCTTCCAGAGGTGTCCCAGGGAATGGCCTGCCCGTCTGCTGAGGGTGGTGCTACCCAGGGCGACAGGGGACAGAAGCATTCAAGATGTCCGTCCTCACTGAAACTTGAAAATCCTCCCGAAGAGCAGGGACTCACCAGCACCTCCCAGCTCAGCCAGAATGGAGCCACAGAAGACAGAGACTCTGAGAGTAATGGACTTGGCAACAGAAGTCCCAGCTGTGTCCTTTGTCCGCACATCCGGACAGCAGAGAGGCCTGCTGACGGTCATGAACACGGGTGCAAGTGCAGACAGTGTTTACATATGGGGAGTCGCCACGCTGTGGACAGTGGAGAGCAGTTCCGTAGTTCTGACCTGTTTGAAGGCCAGAGACAGTTCCGTGAAGAAAGACCTTACAAGTGTGATAACTGTGAGAAGAGCTTCAAACAGCGCTCTGACCTCCTTAAACACCAGAGAATCCACACGGGGGAGAAGCCCTATGAGTGCCAGGCATGCGGGAAGAGCTTCAGTCAGAGTGCTGCTCTGATTAAGCACCAGAGGACACACACAGGGGAGAAGCCGTACACATGTCTGAAATGTGGGGAGTGCTTCAGACAGAGTTCACATCTAAATCGCCATCAAAGAACTCACACAGGAGAGAGGTACTATAAATGCGAGGAGTGTGGGGAAACAGGCCACGTTTCCAGCCTTTTTAGACATCAGAGGCTGCACAAAGGAGAGAGACCCTACAAATGCGAAGAATGTCAGAAGGGCTTCAAACAGCGCTCTGACCTCTTTAAACATCAGAGAATCCACACCGGGGAGAAGCCTTATGGATGTTCTGTGTGTGGGAAAAGCTTCAGTCAGAGTGCGACGCTCATTAAACACCAGAGAACTCACACAGGAGAGAAACCTTATAAATGTCTTGACTGTGGGGACAGCTTTCGACAAAGTACACACCTCATCCGGCACCAAAGAATCCATCAAAATAAAGTCTCGTCATTTTGATATGCTTCTGCATGCCCTGTTTTGTTTGTTTCATGTCCAGAAACTCCATTCGGTGGCATTTGAAGTATTTCAGAAAACCGTGGACCGTGTTGCCTTGGGAATCCCACATAAAACAGGCTCGGTCTGACCTGAGTCTCAGTACATACTTGATAGCATTTCACACAGGGAGGAATGAGGGGAGTTCCCTAAAAGATGACACAGCGACTTACGAGGAAAAGAGCAAAGGCTAATGTGACAGAATCTATCCGTGTCGTCTTCACTCTTCCTGCCTCTTCTTTGGACCAAATCTTGCCCACTTCAATTGTTTTCCTAAGAATTGTAGTCATTTATAATAATTTCTCTACCCATTTGTTGGAGAGGGTTTGCACTACTTTGTAATCCTCAAAACACCTGGTACATCTGAGCACAGAGAAGAAGCACTCTCTATTTGACTTGTTAAAAAATTAATTTTGGGGCCGGCGCCGTGGCTCACTAGGCTAATCCTCCGCCTAGTGGTGCCGGCGCACCGGGTTCTAGTCCCGGTCGGGGCGCCGGATTCTGTCCCGGTTGCCCCTCTTCCAGGCCAGCTCTCTGCTGTGGCCCGGGAGTGCAGTGGAGGATGGCCCAAGTGCTTGGGCCCTGCACCCCATGGGAGACCAGGAGAGGCACCTGGCTCCTGGCTTCAGATCAGCACGGTGCGCCGGCCGCAGCGTGGCGGCCATTGGAGGGTGAACCAACAGCAAAGGAAGACCTTTCTCTCTGTCTCTGTCTTTCTCTCACTGTCCACTCTGTCAAAAAAAAAAATAATAATAATAATTTTGCAGATCCCTCTTTCCTGTTTTAGGAGTCTTAAGGTTCCTGGGTTGGTTTGTTTTTTTTTTGTTTTTTTTTGTTTTTTGTTTTTTCCCTTTTATTTATTTGAAAGGCAGAGTTACAGAGAGAAAGAGAGTCAGAGAGGTCTCCATCCACTGGGTCACTTCCCAAATGGCCGCAACAGCTGGGGCAGGGCCAGGCCAGAGCCAGGAGCTTCTTTCGGGTCTCCCACATGGGTAGCAGGGGCCTGCGCACTTGGGCCATCCTCCACTGCTTTTGCAAGTGCATTAGCAGGGAGCTGGATTGGAAGTGGAGCAGCTGGGACTTGAACCAGCACCCACATGGGATGCCAGCATTGCAGGTGGTGGTTTAACCTACTGTGTATGCCACAGTGCCTGCCCCATGGGTTGTTTTATAAGTTTGGTTTCTTTTAAAACAAGAAAAGCACACACATTTAGTTTCTGTCACTATAACCCTTTCACTGCTTAAATAAGGTCATTTACTGAGAACTTTTTTCTTTTTTAAGATTTACTGGGGCTGGTGCTGTGGCCTAGTAAGTTAAGCCTCCACCTGCAGCACTGGCATCCCCTATGGGTGCCAGTTCAAGTCCTGGCTGCTCCACTTCCGGTCCAGCTCTCTGCTGATGGCCTTGGAAAGCAGTGGAAGATGGCCCAAGTGCTTGACCCCTGCACCCAGGTGGGAGACCTGGCTCTTAGCTTCGGATCAGCCCAGCTCTGGCCTTTGGTGGCTACTTGGGGTGTGAACCATCCCCTCTCCCTCTAACTCTGCCTCTCAAATAAATAAATAAATCTTTAAATAATAATATTTATTTGAAAGGCAGAGTAATGGAGATGTAGAGAGAGCTTCCATCTATTGGTTCATGCCCCAGATGGGCTCAGTAGCCAGGTCTGGGTCAGGCTAAATTCAGGAGCCAGAAACTCCCAAGTCTCCCATGTAGGTGTCAGGGATCCACACACTTGGGCCATCTGCTGCTGCATTCCCAGGCACATTAGCAGGGAGCTGGGTCAGAATCAGAGCAGCCAGGACTCAACCAGCACTCCAGTATGGGATTCCGGCATCACAGGTGGCATTTTAACCACAACACTGGCCCCAACTTTTGGTTTCTGAAAAAGTCATCACTAAACTAGTCACTGAATTGGTGTGTATGTGTGTGTGTGTTGGCTTCTTGTGTACTAAACAGCCTAAAGTGGGGGTGTTTGGTGGAAGTTTCTTACTGCGGGGGACTTGCAGAAGTACTCCAGCCTTGGAGGCTTTCCACAAGAGAACACTTGACGACGAGGCTCCCAGGGTTCAGTGTTGAGTGTTCACTGCTGTTACAACACTGCTCATTGAGTACATCTACATTTCTCTATTTGATTGCCAGGCAACCCTCTGAGGTAAGTAGGAACCTAAGCCATCTCTATTTACAGAGGAAGAAACTGACACTCAGGTGATCTGATGGCATACAAGGGTTCTTGAGAAAGTTCATGGAAAAGATGTAGTATGAAAAGATTTGCATGAATTTCAAAACTTTTTAGCATCAAGATGAACTTTTAATGCCATTTTATCTCAGACTTTCTAAAGTGCCCTCCTGTTACACAGTATAGATCTGAGTGCTTTTTATTATGGGACCTCTACTAACACACTGGTAGGTTCCAGCATGGGCATTTGGGAGGGACACCCACATTCAGACCAAAACAAACACTATCTGTGGGTTTTGTTGGAAGCTTATCATGCAAAGTGCGTGCACAGTAAATTAATAAGAGCCCTGGATCGTTAAGGATGTCAGTATGCTCGTGTCGCCATAACAAAATACCACAGACTGGGCCTAAACAATGTTTATTCTCTCATAGTTTGGGGCTAAATGTTCAAGATAGAAGTGCTTCAGGGCTGCTTTCTGGTGGGTAAAGGATAGAACAGAAAGGGAGCAGAAGACACAGGTACAAAAGCCAGTGGACTAGAGAATGGGTGTCAGCTAGGGGTGAGCATGACCAGGATGGTGCGAACCAGTCCACAGGGCACAGGTCAGCCCCCTGCAAAGAACCACCCAGCCCAAAATGTCAACGGAGGCAAAGGGGAGAGCTAGGAGCAGAGGGAGGTGAGAAAGGGTAGAAGGAGCAGTCAGGACCCAGTACATAAGAAAAGGGAGATAGATCAAAAAATACAAGGGACTTTGAAAGACAAAATGAAAGCAAGAGAGTAAGAGGTAGTCTAGAGGGGAGAGGAGCAGAGGGTGGACTAAAGGAGCATCCATGGTGGCGTGAGAGGAGCCCCTATCCTACAGCGGAGGGAGGGGAGCTGCACACTTGACTCAGATCCCACTGTCCACCCCTTAACAGTATGAGACAAGCCACAGTCACTTAGCTTCCTGGTCTGGAAAAAGGATGACCACGCGACCCCCTTCACAGGGCCACAGGGCTGCCAAGTGGGATGACAGAAGACACATCTGGCTCGATCCCTGGCACACAGAAGGGACTTCAGTGCCACAAATTCCCTTCCTCCTCAGGATTCCGCTTGCCTGGGTCTTTTCCTCACCCACCCGGGCACGTGCTCCCGGGGGCCTTCCTAGGCCCAGCTCCCAGGAGATCCAGGATCCGTGGCTCGACCCAGTTCTCCAGCTGACAGATCACCTCAGGTTTGGGAAACTGAAATCCTACTCACGGGGAAGTAAATGGGAGGTGGGCATTAGTGCGCTACTGAGGGGTGTCCCAGGGCGCACCCTGACCCCGTGGTCTACAGTAGCAAGCAGACACAAGGACAACCATCAAAAGGGCTGATGAGGGGGTCGGTGCTGTGGCGTAGTGGGTTAAGGCCCTGGCCTGAAGCGCTGGCATCCCATATGGGCGCCGGTTCTAGTCCCAGCTGCTCCTCTTCCGATCCAGCTCTCTGCTATGGCCTGGGAAAGCAGTAGAAGATGGCCCAAGTCCTTGGGTCCCTGCACCCACGTGGGAGACCAGGGAGAAGCACCTGGCTCCTGGCTTCAGATCAGCGCAGCTCCAGCCGTTGCAGCCATCTGGGGAGTGAACTAGCAGATGGAAGACCTCTCTCTCTCTTTACCTCTCTGTAACTCTATCTTTCAAATAAATAATCTTTAAAAATTTTTTAAAAATAAAAATAACAGGCCGGCGCCGTGGCTCAATAGGCTAATCCTCCACCTTGCGGCGCCGGCACACCGGGTTCTAGTCCCGGTCGGGGCGCCGGATTCTGTCCCGGTTGCCCCTCTTCCAGGCCAGCTCTCTGCTATGGCCAGGGAGTGCAGTGGAGGATGGCCCAGGTGCTTGGGCCCTGCACCCCATGGGAGACCAGGAAAAGCACCTGGCTCCTGGCTCCTGCCAGGATCAGCGCGGTGAGCCGGCTGCAGCGGCGGCCATTGGAGGGTGAACCAACGGCAAAGGAAGACCTTTCTCTCTCTGTCTCTCTCTCTCACTGTCCACTCTGCCTGTCAAAAAAAAAAATAAATAAATAAATAAAAAAATAACAAAAAAGGGCTGATGAGAACAGAAATCGGCACTGTATTTATGAAAATTAAGCAATCTTGTTTGAGAGCCTCAGCAGTATTCACACTCCTGCCTTCAGTCACATTGCTTTTAGAAATACAGCCTCGGGGAAAGTTAGGGCCACAGATATCAGCAGGGGGTGAATTAATGAAGTGTAGCACAGTCATACAGCATAGGCAGATACTTAAAAACAATGTGCTCAAATATTTATTAGCATTGAAAAATGCTCCCTGTGTATTTTAAAGCAGAATATAAAACTCACATATGACATGATCCAAATTTTGTTTTTTCATTAATTTGCTTTGGGAGGCAGAGAGACAGAGACAGAGAGCTAGAGGGCCAGAAACAGACAGAGTTCCCACCTGCTGCTTCACTCCCCAGATGCATGCAACGATCAGAGCTGACCCAAACCAGAGTCAAGAGATGGGAAGGCAGGTATCTTGTGTGGGCGGCAGGGACCCAATTACTTGAGCCACCACCTGCTATGCCTCCCAACGTCTTCATTAGCAGGAATCTGGAATCAGGAACTGGAGCTGAAAATCGAGCCTAGGTATGGGATGCAGGCATCTTAACCACTAGGCCAAAGAACCGCTCAGCACATTTTGTTTCAAAACAGATGTATGTGTGCAAGTCAGAAAATAAAGGAGCAGACACACAGTCAGTCTGAGAATTACGAACCCAAAAGGTCAACAGGTTATTGCTGGGCAGTGGGCCTACAGCTGAGTTTTACTGTATACTCTATACACTGATATGTTTTACAAAATTTCCAAAATTAATGTTATTGATTTTAGAACTAGTAAAATTTCTAAAGGAGCACAGTAATCTATGAAGAGACAAAGTACTGCACCCTGTAACTCCAAGATTCCAGTTCTGGGAATGTACCTTGGGGAATGACGAGAAATTCACAGAAAGATTTATAGTCAGAAACACTCATTGGAATATTATAAATTGTATTAAAAATTACAAAGATACAAGCAAACCAACAAACAAAAACAAAACCACGTTCAATATCTCCATTATGGGAAAACAAATATTGCCAACCATACAATGGAATTATATTATGCTCATTTCATATATATGTGGGAAAACATTGATGCTATAAGATTAAATTTAAAAGGGATTACAGAATTACAAACAGAGTATGTGACTGGCTGGGGTGGAGGTGGGGGAGGCTGGAGTTGTGGTGGGCGGGTCAGCCCACTGCTTGCAATGCTGGCATCCCGTATCAGAGTGACAGTTTGAGTCCCAGCTGCTCCACTTCCGATCCAGCTTCCTGCTCATTGGACTGGGAAGGTAGCAGATGATGGCCCAAGTGCTTGGACCCCTGCCGCCCATAAGGGAGACCTGGATGGAGTTCCCGGCTCCTGGCTTCAGTCTGGCCCAGTCCTGACTGTTGAAGCCATTTGAGGAGTAAACCAGCAGATGGAAGGTCCCTATCCGTATCTCTCTCTCTCTCCCCTTCACCCTCCTCTGTCACTCTTTCAAATAAATAAATAAATATTTTAAATGACTGGTAAGAAATATTTTAAAATATTTCCTCTGAGTATTTCCATCTTCCCATCATCATATTTTTCTATACCTTCCATATATTTAATTACACTCTTGTAATATTTTTAAATGTTTAATTGACACATAATAATTGCACACCTTTATGGAGTACAACGTGACAATTTGACACATATATACAATGTGTAATGACCAGATCAGGGTAACTAGCACCATCTCCAATATTTTCATTTCTTTGCGTCAGGAACATTCAAAATCCTTCCATCTAGCTGTTCTGAAACTTAAGAAAAACCACCAGCACTACCACCCAGAGGTGACGGACAGCTGCCGTTCAGAAGCGAAGTCAGCGTAAGATCAGACCTGGGCATGCACCCAGGCTCCCGACAAGTGAGCCACCCGTTTCCACAGAGAAGAGAGAAGGAAAGACTTCAAGAGAACGAGAAGCCAGCCTCGGGCATCTAAAGCGACTGTAATGTCTGCAATTCTGACGGGTCTTACAGATGTGGAAGACGGGGGTGGGAGTGCAGGATGGATCGGTGTCTGAGGCCCCCAGAGCCCAGCACAACTCTTCCCTGTCCCCAGTACCTTTTCTGAAACCCCGGGGCCAGGCATGACTCGGGATCTAGAATTTTCCCACACTTCAGAAAGGCGAGCTGGTGTATGCATTTCATACTATGTCCCGCCTCCAGCAGGACTTGGAGCTGGGCCCTCCATCCCACACACCAAATGGGAAAAACCCCAACAATATGTACCTTCTCTGTGGAATGCGATCAGGTTTCACTGCCTGGTGACTTCAGCTAAGGCTCTGGAGCCAAGTGAGTTACAAAATAAGTGTGGTTTCCAGAGCTCCGTGGATTTGGGGATTGTGGACAATGGACGGGGGACGGGTGCAGATGCTCAGAACACACCGACAGAACCCGGTGGTCCGGCCAAGCCATTACCCATCAACACCATGTTCCTGAAGTTTCCCAGAGCCACGTCTCCGTAGAGGGCCTCCTGGGCCCAGTCCAGCTGCACCCGCTCCTCCCTGGAGCACATCGCCACATCCTCAAAGGACAGCCGTTCCTGAAAAGATGGCCAGTGACTGCAACTGGGATTCTCACAGGGACTCCAGAGCTGGGCCTCGGACTCCCCTGGGAAAGAAACCGAGGTCATTCAACGAGTGGCAGATGGAGCTCTTGCCAGGGCCCCACTCAGGCCTGGGCAGGGCCTCCTGCTCGACTCTCTGAAGGGCCAGCGAGGCAAGATTCCAGGCTTCTGAGGCCGTCTGGTCTCTGCCACTGCAGCTCCAGCCAGCAGCAAGCAAGGGACAGTGGCTGTGTCCACTCAAACCTCCCCGAGCTTCCCGACTCCCGCCCTAAACCTCACTGCCCTTCACGGAGCCTGCGTGTGCTCTCAGCCCGGCCTCCCTTAGAAAGGGGGTGAGGTCGCTGAGAACCGGTCTAGATGCGGACTGTTTCCAAAGGAACGGGCAGGTCTGAAGCGGGGGAATGGGTGAGGGGGGGGGGGGTCGGGGAGGCTTGCTGGAAGCCAGAAAGGTGCTGGCGAGGGAGCAGGATGGGATCCCGGGCCTCAGAGGGCCTGGCAGGGGCAGCTGTGGGAACCGACACCCGACCGGCGTCCTGGGGAATAGCGCAGGCAGCGTGGAGAGGCGCGTGCGGCACAGGCTCCCACGCACAGCCACAGGACGGTCTGAGAGGGAGGGTCCTCACCGTCTGTTACCGCCAACTGGGGAGTGAACCAGGGGATGGAAGATCTTCTCCCTCCCACCCTACACCCTGCCCATCAAATAAATAAAGGAACATTGTTTAAAACCATGTTTCTTGCTCCTTCCTCCCTCTCTGGTTACCACTCTCTTTCCCTTACTGGACCAGCCTCTGGAAAGAACATTCTACAGGCTCACCGCCTAGTCACTCCACACACAACCCACCATCTGGCGTAAGCTCTTAGCATTCTTCTGAAACTATTTCAAGAGACCACCCATGGGTCTGGCGCTGTGGTGCAGTGTGTGAAGCCGCCACCTACAGGGCCAGCGTTCCATGTGGGCACTGGTTTGAGTCCCAGTTGCTCCACTTCTGATCCAGCTCCCTGCTGATACACCCGGAAAAGCAGTAGAAGATGGCCCAAGTGCTTGGGCCCCTGCACCCACATGGGAGACCTGGAAGAAGTTCCTGGTTCCAGGCTACTGCTTGGCCCATCCAGGCCATTGCAGCCATCTGTGGAGTGATCCAGTGGACAGAAGACTTCTCTTTCTCTACAACTCCACTTCTCAAATAAATCTTTAAAGCTAGAGACAGAGTGACCACCCACTCGGGAACCCAAGGAGATAGTTCTGAGTCTTTTTTTTTTTTTTTTTAAGATTTATCCATTCATTTATTCAAGAGTGAGAATGAGACTGAGAGAGAGAGAGAGACTGGTTCACTCCCCAAATGGCCATAACAGCCAGGTCTGTACCAGGCCAAAGCCAGGAGCCAGGATCTCCATACTACTCTCCCACATGGTGGCAGGGACCGAAGCATTTGTGCCACCTTCCACCGCCTTCCCATCAGCAGGAATTTGGATCAGAAGCAAAGCAGCTGGGACATGAAGGAGTCCTCCGATTAAGGATACATCTTAAGAAACTGCACCACAATGTGGGCCCTGAGTTGACTCTTCAAATATGAGCAGTGGGACTAGCGCTGTGGCATAGCGGGTCAAGCCACCCTCTTTCATGCCAGCATCCCATGTGGTCACTGGTCTAAGTCCTGGCTGCCCAATTTCTAATCCAGCTCCCTGCTAATGTGCCTGGGAAAGCAGCAGAAGATAGCCCAAGTCCTTGGGCCCCTGCACCCACATGGGAGACTCAGAAGAAGCTCCTGGCTCCTGGCTTTGGGTCAGCCCAGCTCCGGCCAGCAATGGCCATTTGGGAAGTGAACCAGTGGATGGAAGATTTCTCTGTCTCTGCTTCCTTCTCTAATTCTGCTTTTCAAATAAATAAATCTTTAAAAGAATATATGAGTAGGCAATTCACCTTATGGACAAGGAGGACAGGACGGTGGGCAGGGTGGTAGAAGGAAGGGACACTGTGCGTTCCTGCGTGAAGCTTCTCTGGCTCTCAGGGACAGCCTGGAGGGGAGGCAGCAAAGGCAGGTGTGCCTCGCGATCCCTGGGAAGCACTCAGCGCTCAGTGGGATCCCTCCGATCCCAAGGCAGCAATCCTGCCAGACTGCAGCACGGCCACACCTTCTGTTCCCACTGCTGTGACAGCTTCCTAACTTAGCTCCTCACCTTCAAACCCAACGTCTTATCACCCTTCGAAATGCTACAGATGCAATGGCCCATTTCACAGACAAGGAAACGGTGGCCCACAATGCTTATGTAACTTGCTGGAGGTGACACATCTAACACACAGCTTGGATTTGAACCCACAGACTGCAGACTTTGTGCTCCTCACTACATAGCACCCATGAAGGAAAACTCCCAAGTGGAGTATGGCCAGCTTCCCCAGGCCATACTCCCCAGGGCTGGGCCCGGACAAAGTGATGTTCAGCAACAGTGACGCTAGCGGAGACAGAGGAGGAGCTGCAGCTTCCACCCGGTGCTGGGAACATGGCTTCACCAGCCCCAGCTCTGCCAAGCGGTTGTCTCCCAGCCATCAGGCCAAGCTGGAGAAGAAGGAAGGATGACAGGTGAGGCCGGCCCCAGCTTGAAGGTTTCCTGAGAAGGCAGACCTGGGAGAGGGGATCCCCAGACCCGATCACTACAAAGTCAGTAGAACAGTCTTTTTTTGGAGTTTCTGAAGCTGCATCAGTTTCCACAGCTGTCTGCAAGGGAAGCTGTGCCTGGCGCCCCACCCCCACCCCCGCCTTCTCCCAGCACCTCTCTGCCGGACACTGGGTGCGCAAAGGGCTAAGATCCAGAGGTCGCTGATCCACAGCTGGCAGCAGCCTACCCGGGAAGCTACCTTGCTGTGGGTCAGGCCTCGGTCCGCTAACTGCCTGCCAGCTTTTTCACTCGACCACATGAAATGAGCAACCAAGAGACCGACTGCTAAGCCGAGACTTTGACAACAACAAGCGACCGTTACGGGGGACATCAGGAAAGGTTCCGGGCCAGACGGGGGAGAAGCTTTTAAAAGGGAAAAGGGCCGGCGCCGCGGCTCACTAGGCTAATCCTCCGCCTTGCGGCACCAGCACCCCGGGTTCTAGTCCTGGTCGGGGCGCCGGATTCTGTCCCGGTTACCCCTCTTCCAGGCCAGCTCTCTGCGGTGGCCCGGGAAGGCAGTGGAGGATGGCCCAGGTGCTTGGGCCCTGCACCCCATGGGAGACCAGGATAAGTACCTGGCTCCTGCCATCGGATCAGCGCGGAACAGCACGCCAGCCGCGGCGGCCATTGGAGGGTGAACCAACGGCAAAGGAAGACCTTTCTCTCTGTCTCTCTCTCTCACTGTCCACTCTGCCTGTCAAAAAAAAAAAAAATTATCCATTTAATCTAGGTTTAAACTTTTTAAACTAATGGAGTTGAGAAAAGTAGTGTTATTCTTTAGTTTTTAAATTTAGAAATATGGTATCAGTAACTCAAATTCTCTCATAATATTTCAATAGTTGATATCAGAAGCATGAGAATAGCAATCAGCCTTAAAAACAAATGGGATGACCTCCAACACAGGAGGAAGGAATGGGTTGGGATACAGTGGAGCTAGAAGTGAAAGACTGGATTGTTTCTGTTTATCTCTATGACCTGATGCAAAAGTGCCTGCTGGGTCTGGAAACAGGGAGGCTTCAGGCATTTCCTATGTCACTTGTCCCCTTTATTTAACTCTTCTGGTTCTCCTAAACTGTGCTAGTGTTACTCATGAGACATCTTTTAAACTGAAATGAAGTTGAAAAGATTCACTGAGCACTTCCGACATGTCACTCATCCCTCTTCCTATACCTCTCTGTCCTCTGGGAAGTTACATTCTTATGATTCACAGAAACATAAAGAAACCAGGATTCCTGGCCGGTGCCATGGCTCACTTGGTTAATGCCTGTGGCACCAACATCCCAGCTCTCTGCTGTGGCCCAGGAAGGCGGTGGAGGATGGCCTAAGTCCTTGGGCCCTGCACCCGCATGGGAAACCAGGAAGAAGCAGCTGGCTCCTGGCTTCAGATCAGCGCAGCGCCAGCTGTAGCAGCCACTTGGGGAGTGAACCAACAGAAGGAAGACCTTTCTCTCTGTCTCTCTCTCTATCTATAACTTTACCTGTCAAATAAATAAATAAATAAATAAATAAATAATTTTTTTTTTTTTTTGACAGGCAGAGTGGACAGTGAGAGAGACAGAGAGAAAGGTCTTCCTTTGCCGTTGGTTCACCCTCCAATGGCCGCCGCGGCTGGCGTGCTGTTCCGCGCTGATCCGATGGCAGGAGCCAGGTACTTATCCTGGTCTCCCATGGGGTGCAGGGCCCAAGCACCTGGGCCATCCTCCACTGCACTCCCTGGCCACAGCAGAGGGCTGGCCTGGAAGAGGGGCAACCGGGACAGAATCCGGCGCCCCGACCGGGACTAGAACCCGGTGTGCCGGCGCCGCTAGGCGGAGGATTAGCCTAGTGAGCCGCGGCGCCGGCCAATAAATAAAATTTTTAAAAAATAAAAAGAGACCAGGATTCCTGACAGAGCTCTTAAAGAAATGCTTTCTTTTCTTTTCTTTCTTTTTTTTTTTTTTCAATACTATTGCATTATAACTTTCTGTTTCTTCTGGATAAGTTTTTTTTTTTTTTGCCAACACAGGTCACATAAAAATCTGCCTGCCCACGTGGCAATGTTCTTTCAACAGCAGATAACAATGACTCATACAAGCCTATCTGATAGGGAATATATATTATAGTTGATCATCTTAAATGTAATTGCCTGCCATTCTTCAATAACATCCTGTGGCTCTTCAGAGAAAGGTGACTGTAACCTTCACTCACTAGCAGACAACCAGTTTTACTTTGCTTTTTGCTTTACTCCTAGCTTCAGTCTCTCATCAGCTTCCACCATTGCTGGGGAGTGAACCACTCACTATGGGAGTTCTCTCTGCCTCTCAAACACAAAAAAACTACACCTCCTATTTTCCCATTGTAATGTGACATAAATGTATAAAAAGGCCTACACGGTTATTTGGGAGAACATTCATAAAGGAAATAAAGGAACAATAGTGGAATTACACCATTCTAGAGCCAGTTGGAGGAAGGAAACCTCCCCAGCTGATGGCTGTACAAGTATAAAGGAAAGAAGCTGGGGCCGGCGCTGTGGCACAGCGGGTTAAAGCCCTGGCTTGAAGCGTCAGCATCCCATATGGGCACCAGTTCTAGTCCAGGCTGCTCCTCTTCCGATCCAGCTCTCTGCTATGGCCTGGGAAAGCAGCAGAAGATGGCCAAGTCCTTGGGCCCCTGCACTCACATAGGAGACCCGGAAGAAGCTCCTGGCTCCTGGCTACAGATCAACAAAGCTCCAGCCATTGTGGCCATCTGGGGAGTGAACCAGTGAATGGAAGACCTCTCTCTCTCTGTCTCTACCTCTTTCTGTGACTCTTTCAAATAAATAAAATAAATCTTTAAAAAAAAAAAAGGAAAGAATCTAAATTCTTAGGACCTAAATTAAGTGTGATGAATTGATCAAGGATAAATGATCACATGAGTTTGAGTGACAGAATGCCACTTCTCACTTGTAGGTCCTCGTCTAAGCTTCTTCATTATTGTTAACTTTTGCTACCAAGAAGCCATAGGTAAGCAAGCACAATGTATTATCCCAGCACACAAAAGCAGCTGAGAGAGTTGCAGCCAGGCTTAAAAAGAGCACATTAGCCAGAGTCAGTTAGGGCCACAGAAGAAATTAGTATTAGGTTGATCGTGAGGTTAATAAGAAAGGGCCAAGAAAAGGGATCAAAAATCAGGTCAAAAAGATACCACTGGGGCTGGCGTTATGGCATAGTGGGTTAAGCACCCACCTGGGACACCAGCATCCCCATAGGGGTGCTGGTTTGTATCCCAACTGCCCCACTTCTTATTCAGTTCCCTCTTAATGACCCAGCAAATGCAGTGAAGATGGTCCCAGTGCTTGGACCCCTGAAAAACATGTGGTCCCCTGGATGAAGCTCCTGGCTGCTGGCTCTGGCCTGGCCCAGCCCTGGCCATTGCAGCCATCTGGAGAGTGAACCAGCAGATGCAAGATTGCTTGCTCTCTGTCTTTTCCTCTCTAACTTTTACTTTCAAATAAATACCTCTTTCTTCTTAAAAAAAAAAAAAAAAAAAAAAAAGAAGATACTGTTGGGGCTGGTGCCGTGGCATAGCGGGTAAAGGCGCTGCTTGCAGTGTTGGCATCCCATATGGGCACCAGTTCGAGTCTTGGCTGTCCCACTTCCCGTCCAGCTCTCTGCTATGGCCTGGAAAAGCAGCAGAAGATGGCCCAAGTCCTTGGGTCCTGCACTCATGTGGGAGACCTGGTAGAAGCTCCTGGCTTTGGCCTAGCCCAGCTCCGGCTGTTGTGGCCATTTGGGGAATGAACCAGTGGATGGAAGACCTCTCTCTCTCTCTCTCTCTGCCTCTGTTTCTCTCTCTGTGTAGCTCTTTCAAATAAATATATAAATCTTTAAAAATAAAAAATAAAAGCCACATATAGGGGCCAGTGTTGTTGTGTAGTGGGTAAAGCCACCGCCTGCAGTGCAGGCATCCCAAATGGGTGCTGGTTTGAGTCCCAGCTGCTCCACTTCCCATCCAGTTCCCTGATAATGTGCCTGGGAAAGCAGCAGAAGATGGCCCAAGTCCTTTGGCCCCTGTAGTCGCATGGGAGATCAGGAGGAAGCTCCTGGCTCCCGGCTTGGGATCAACACAGCTCCAGTCCTTGTGGCCATTTGGGGAGTGAACCAGCAGATGGAAGACCTCTCTCTCTCTCTCTCTCTCTCTCTCTGCCTCTCTGTACTCTGCCTTTCAAATAAAATAAATAAATCTTTAAAAAAAAAGCCCACAGATAGCGACATTTACCTCTTGCTGCCCTCTTCCATACACAGTAACATTTCAAGGAAGAAGGCTATTTTGTGAGTGGCACGGTTTCTTTATGGTTTTGGAATATGGTCTACAGTATTTAGAACAGATCTACACAATCAGGGGAGAATAATTATTTGTAAATGTACTGCATTCTATTCATCATGAATCTCTTTATGTCGATGCAAGGCTGAACACACAGGTTTTCTCACCCTTCTTCTTACTTCTGTAGGCTTTTTGTCCTGTGTGAATTTTCTGGTGTTGAATAAGAGATGAGCTCTGGCTGAAGGCTCTGTCGCAATCATGGCATTTATAGGGTTTCTCGCCAGTGTGAGTCCTCAGATGCTTTGTAAGGGATGAGCTCTGGCTGAAGGCCTTCTCACACTCTCTGCATTTGTAAGGTCTCTCTCCAGTGTGAATCCTCTGATGTCTTACAAGGGCTGAGCGGTCACTGAAGGCTTTCTCGCAGTCATTACATTTGTAAGGCTTCTCCCCAGTGTGAGTCCCTTGATGCTGAATAAGAGCTGAGCAGTAGCTGAAGGCTTTCCCACATTCACTGCACTCGTACGGCTTTTCCCCCGTGTGGCTTCTCCGATGCTGAGTCAGGCCTGACCGATCACTAAAGGCTTTCCCACACTCTTTGCAGCTGTAGGGATTTTCTCCAGGATGCACCCTCTGGTGTTTCATGAGGGATGAGGTATCGCTGAAAGCTTTCTCACAATCCTTGCATCTGTAGGGTTTCTCCCCAGTGTGTGTGCGGTGATGCTGAATGAGATACGTGCTTTGGTTGAAGGCCTTCCCACACTCCTTGCACGCGTAGGGCTTCTCTCCAGTGTGAGTGGTGCGATGCTGAAGCAGGGCCGAACGGTGACAGAAAGCTTTCCCGCACACATTGCACTCGTAGGGCTTCTCTCCAGTGTGGATTCTCTGGTGCTGAAGGAGCGAAGAACTCCGAATGAAGGCCTTGCCGCACTGGCTACACGCATAGGGCTTCTCGCCAGTGTGGGTTCTCTGATGGAGGACAAAGGCGGAGTAGTAACTGAAGCACCTGCCACACGCGGTGCACTCCCACGGCTTTTTCCCAGGGTGCATCTTCCGACGTCTGATGGGGTTTGAACTTTCCCCAGGTTCATAACAACCCGTAGGCTTTTTCCTGTGTTTGACTGTGACACGCCTTGAGTCTCTCTTCTGGTTTCCCTGCTGCCTTCCTAGCGGGCCTTCACATTCCCAGGTTCCTATCAACCTAGAGCTCCAAGCATCACCCTTTTGCAGTCTTTCCAGTATCAGCTCTCTTTCAGGTGATCGTTCATAATCTTCCTGCTTTAAAAGGAATTCTTCAGTTGCAGGCATGGATTCAGAATCTAAAATAACAAAAAGTACAAATGTTGGTCATTTCTATATTGAGAGGAATAAAATTGTGAGAGGGACTATGATAATATTTTAAAATTATGCCTACGGGACCAGCATTGTGGCTTAGTGGATAAAGCTGCCTTCTGCAATGCCAGCATCCCCTATGGGTGCTGGTTTGTATCCTGGCTGCTCCACTTCTGATCCAACTCCCTGCCAATGCCCTGGAAAAATCAGTGGAGGATGGCCCAACTGTTTGGGCCCCTGCACCCATGTGGGAGACCTGGATGAAACACTTGGCTCCTGGCTTTGGCCTGGCCCAGCCCTGGCCATTCTGGCCATCTGGGGAGTAAACTAGCAGGTGGAAGGTCTCTCTCTGCCTCCCCCTCTCTTTCTGTACCTGTGACTTTCAATAAGTACATAAATCTTTTTTTAAAAGATAGATATTAAAATTATTTATTTGAGGGTCCAGCACTGTGACGTAGAGCGCTGGGCCTCCACCTGCAGTGCCCGCATCCCATGCTGGTGGCAGTTCATGTCCCTGACTGCTCTGCTTCCAGTCCAGCTCCCTGCCAGTACACCTGGAAAGGCAGCGGAGGGTGGCCCAAGTGCTTGGGGTATCGTCCTGCCCTTCCCAAGTGATTAGCAGGGAGGTGGACTGGAGTTGAACCAGTGCCCATATGGAGTGTTGCCATCTCAGGATTACACCACAACACAGCATCCTATTTAAAATTTTTAAAGCTTTTAATTAACATACAAAATTGCACATATTTATACGGTACCATGCGATATTTTGATACATGTATATATTTTGTAATGTCAAATCAGGGTAAACACAGCTATATCCTCAAACATTTAATGTTATCTTTACAATGAAAACATTCAAAATCCTTTCTTTTAGTTTTAGGTGTTGTTTTGTTTTTTAAGAAAAATACACAATACATTATCATTATCTATAGTCACCTTTCTGTGCTGTAGAAGACTAGAATTTCTTACTTAATTTAGCGCCCATTAATCAAATTTTTCCTCATCCCTCCCTCTGCTTACTTTCCCTGGCCTTTGGTAACCATTATTATATTCCTAAATTATATAAAATTAACTTTTTTTTAAAAAAAAGTTGTTTCTTATTTCTTGAGAGACAGAATTGCAGATAGAGAGAGGCAGAGACAGAGAGGTCTTCCATCTGCTCGGTCACTCCCTAAATGGCAGCAATGGTTGGAACTGGGCCGATCTGGAGCCAAGAGCTTCTGGGTGTCCCAAGTGGGTACAGGGGCCAAGTACTTGGGCCACCTTTCACTGCTTTCTCAGACCATTAGCAGGGAGCTGGATTGGAAGTAGAGCAGCTGGGACTGGAACCAGCACCTATATGGGATGCTGGCACCCAAGCGGAGGCTTAACCCCACTATGCCACAGCACCAACCCCAAGATTAACTTTAATGATTCCCCAAATGAGTGAGATTATGTTGTACTTGCCTTTCTACAGCTGATTTATTTCACTTAACATGGTGACCTCCAGGTCTATCTATGTGGTTGCAAGTGACAAGATTTTATTCTCTTTCATGGTTATATAGTATTTTTTTATTTTTAAATTTTTTAAGCTGAACAAATTTCATGTATTTCATATATACAGATTTATAGTAATACTTTCCACCCCACTCTCCCTCCCTCCTCCTTCCTTTCATTCCTTCCTTTAATTTTTAGAATGATCTACTCTCAGTCTATTTTATACTCATAAGATTAACCCTACACTAAGTAAATAATTCAATAAATAGTAAAAAAAAAAAAACAAACATGGAATACTTCGCAAATTTGCATGTCATCTTTGTACAGCGGCTATGCTAACCTTCTCTGTATCAATCCAATTTTAGTATATGTGCTGCTAAAGGAAGCACTATTTATTTTTATTTGAGAGGTAGAGAGATGGGTGGCACAGGAGAATTCTTATATGCTGGTTCGTTCTCCAAGCAGAAGCCACTAGGAACTCCATCCAGATCACCCATGTGGATAGGAGGGATCCAACTACTTAAGCTATCACCTGCTGCCTCCCAAGGTGCTCATCAGCAGAGACCTAGAATCATAGCAGAACCAGAACTGGAACCCAGGTACTCTGATATGAGATATAGGCATCCTAACCTCTCAGCCAAATGCCTGCTTCATACATTATGTGTGTTTTTTTTTTAAAGATTTAGTTATTTATATTGAAAAGTAGAATTACAGAGAGAGAGAGAGAGTGAGAGAGAGATACAGAGAGAGAGAGAAAGAGATCTTCCATCTGTTGGTTCATTCCCCAGATGGTTGCAACAGCCAGGGCTGGGCCAGGCTGAAGCAAGGATCCAGGAGCTTCTTCTGGGTCTCTCATGTAGGTGCAGGGGCCCAAGCACGAGGGCCATCTTCCACTGCATTTCCCTGGCACATTAGCAAGGACTGGATCAGAAGTGGAGCAGCTGGAACTCGGTGCCACAGTGCCGCTGTCCTACCGCCCCATTACTTTTTAAACAGTTTTCGCTAGGGGAAGGAGTCTGGTCTAGCAGGTAAGATGTCTGTACCCCATACTGGAGTGCCTGGGTTCAATACCTTCCTCTGGCTCCTAACTCCAGCTTCTTGCTAATGCAGACCCTGGGAGGCAGCAGTGAATGCCCAAGTCACTGGATTCCTCCCACACATGCAGGAGACCTGGAGTGGATTCAAATAGCTCCTACCTTCAGCCTCCACAGAGGCCTGACCATTTTGCATGGACACCCAGCATGAGAGAACCAGTAAATGTCAGTGCTCTGTATCTCTCTGCCTGTCAAATAAATTAAATAATACTCTCTGGTCTTTTCATAGAGGCAAAATGTTTCTTTTAGATGCTTTAAGTATGAACTTGTGTCTCCACTAACCACTACCCCTTTCTTTCCTTCCTTCCTTCCATCTTCCCTCCTACCCTCCCTCCCTCCCTTGCAAAAGCAAAAATTCCTTCCTTCTTTGCTTCCTTCCTTCCATCTTCCTTCCTCTTTTGTCACAGCCAAATTTCTCAAAGAGCTTATGCGCATTCTCTCATGTATACTCCTGTACCCACTAGTCTGGCTTCTCTCTCTACTACTTTCCCTACTCTCCCTGAAGTCAACAACCACTTCCTGGTCATCTAAACCCAGTGGGGCTCTTTCGTGGGCATTGTTCAGCTTGGCATCTCAGCAGCACTGCATGCTGTGGCTCAGCCTTCCAGCTGCCAACATTCTGTCCTGTCTTTTGTGTTTCTACGCTGTCTAGGTTTTTCCTGATCTCTATTTCTCGGGAACTTTTTCTGCTGTTTGTTCTTCTTACGTGTTGATAGTTCTTGGCATTCAGCCTTAGGCTCCCCTCTTTCGCCCTTGCTCCCTCCCCCAATTACATTCTCTCCTGTAACGATCTCATACATGTCCAGTATTGCTGCACAGCAGGTTAAAGACCATATCCATCCCGTGGTCTTAATTGTTTTCTATAATTCCACCCAAACCCCTATCTCCAGCTTAGTTCTTTCTCCCTATCCATGTTCTCGGCTATCTAATTTATATATCCATTTGGAAATCCTGAATTTACTCTACCAGAGTATGTCAAAAAGTTCATGAAAAATTCAATGAAAAAATTTTTATTTTGTGCAAAAATTTTTTGTAATCTATGTGCACAAGAGGCTTTCAAAACATTCATGAAAATGCATATTATGAAAACACTATTTGTGAATTTAAAAAATTTTAGCCTCAAAATAAACTTATCTTTTAGTGCCACTTTCAATGAGCTTTTTGGAGTATCCTCGAATCTACACTTTGACTCATCTGCTCCCTTAACCTACACACTCTCCAGGTTTCACTAGCTCAGAAAACATCAACATCATCATGCTCAGAAAAAAGGAGACTTTATACAAGAATATGGGCTCTACCACCAAAAGGTAAGTTTCTAGAGTGTACATCATATCTCCTTTGTTCACTCATATTTCTCAGGGCCTATCCTAGTGCTGGTAGAGAGTAAGCACACATTAAATATATGGTTTAAATTTATCTATTTGTTGTGGCCGGTGCTGTGGCGCAGCTGGTTAATGCCGTGGCCTGAAGCGCTGGCATCCCATTTGGGTGCCGGTTTGAGACCTGGCTGCTCCAATTCTGATCCAGCTCTCTGCTATGGCCTGGGAAAGCAGTGGAAGAAGGCCCAAGTCCTTGGGTCCCTGCATCCGAGTGGGCGACCCAGAAGAAGCTCCTGGCTCCTGGCTTCAGGTTGGCGCAACTCTAGCTATTGCAGCCAATTGGGGAGTGAACCATTGGATGGAAGACCTCTCTCTGCTTCTCCTCTCTCTGTGTAACTCTGACTTTCAAATAAATAAATAAATCTTAAATAAAATCATTTATTTGTTTATTTGTATTTGAAAGGCACAGAGAGAAAGAGAGAGAAGCAGAGACAGAGATCTTCCATCTGCTGGAGTTTATTCCCCAAATGCCTTTAACAGCCAGGGCTGGACCAGGCTAAAGCAAGAAACTGAAACTCAATGCAGGTCTCACACATGGGTGCCAGGGACCCGAGCACGTGAGCCCTCACTGCTGCCTCCCAGGGTGTGCATTAGCAGGATGCTGGAATCAGAGGTGCAGCAGGAACTGAACCCAGACATTCTGACGTGGGATGTGGCATCACAAGTGGCATCTTAACTGCTGAGCCAATCACCTGCCCCTAACTATATATTGTATGAGCAAAACTGAACACAAGCAATACAAATAAGGAGGCAACTTGAGAGTTCAGTAAGCCCTTACTGAGACACTTTTGGGACTAGCGCTGCGGCATAATGGGGTAAAACCTACCACCTGTAACACCAGCATCCTATCTGGGCACTGGTCAAGTCCCGAGGCTGTTCCACTTCTGATCCACCTCCTTGCTCACATGCCTGGGAAGGCAGTGGAAGATGGCCAACTACTTGGGCCCCTGAACCTATGTGGGAGACCCTGATTTAGCTCCTAGCTCCTGGCTCCTGGCTCCGGCCTAGCCCAGCCCTGGCCATCGTGGCCATCTGGGGAGTGAACCAGTGGATGGAAAACCTGTCTCTCTTCTCTCTCTCTATAACTCTGTCTTTCAAATAAATAAATCTTAAAAAAAGAAGATTTTGCCTCATTATAGAAATATAACTATAAAAATATTTGAGTAAATATATTTTAATGTGATTTTTATAAGTTGAGAACAGTAAGTAATAAAATTTAGTATACACTATGAACTATAATGTTAGATTAACAATTCTGTTTTTATTATGTGTGAACTGTTATTGTAAGAGATTAAATATATTAACACAGTTAATCTTCAGAAAATCCCAGTTTCTCTTTTTTTTTAAATATTTATTTATTTATTTGAAAGGCAGAGTTACAAAAAGGCAGAAGCAGAAACAGAGAGAGGTCTTTCATTCGCTGGTTCACTCCCTAAATGGCCACAATGACCAATCTGAAGCCAATCTGAAGCCAGGAGCCAGAAGCTTCTTCTGGGTCTCCCATGCAGGTATAGGGGCCCAAGGACTTGGGCCTTCTTCCACTGCTTTCCCAGGCCTTAGCAGAGAGCTGGATTGGAAGTAGAGTAGCTGGGAATTGAACCAGCACCCACATGGGATCCCAGCACTGCAGGCAGTGGCTTTACCCACTATGCCACAGTGCCAGCCCAACCCCAGTTTCTGTAATTGAAAGTCAGAACCTTGAGAAGCATCCTGGACTCTTCCCTATACCCTACCAACCACAAAATTTTCAAATTTTCACCAAATTTTATGAATTACAGCTCCCTCATGAATGAGACTAATACTTTTATACAAGAGACCCAAGAGAGACCTCTCCCCACCCCTTCCACCAAATAAGAAGGTAGCATCTAAGAACCAGACAGTAGGCCCTCACCAGACACCAAATTTTCTAGCACTTCGATTGTAGAATTCCCAGTTTCCAGAACTATGAGAAATCAATTTCTGATGTCCATAAACCTCTTGGTTTATGGTATTTTGTTATAGTAGCTCAGACAGACTGAGACATTTATATTGTAGTAAGTAGCCCACATTACAAAATAAGATTTCCTTACCCCAAAACACAAGGCTCCCACAGTGCTCCACCTTCATATCCATGCCGATGTACTTGTGGGCAGAATTCAGCTCTTCTACCTCCTCTTGGGTGAAGTCCATTTCTTCATCTTTGACTGTCATCAACTCCTGGAAGAACAAGGACATTCTTCACATTCCTAAAGGGCTTGGTAATGGTAAGGGAAAGGAACAATCTAGAAGATTTTAACTTTAATGAAATGTTCTAAAATTATGAAATATGAGTCTGTGCTAAGGAATATAATAATGAATGCTAATATTTATAATTTATTTCCTATGTGTTGTTATTTGAGTAAACTTTCTCAAAATAAAAACCATACAAGGTAAGAGGAAAGTAGTGTTATTAACATTATTTTTAAGTGTAAGGGTCAGATCTGGCATTTGGACCAGACAGTCTGACTTCAAACTTACATATATATATTTTTATTTATTTATTTGACAGGTAAGAGTTACAGACAGTGAGAAAGACAAAGGTCTTCCTTCCGTTGGTTCACTCCCTAAGTGGCCGCAACGGCTGGAGCTGTGCTGATCTGAAGCTGGGAGCCAGGAGCTTCCTCCTGGTCCCCCATGTGGGTTCAGGGGCCCAAGGACTTGGGCCATCCTCCACTGCTTTCCCAGGCCACAGCAGAGAGCTGGACTGGAAGAGGAGCAGCTGGGACTAGAACCTGGCACCCATATGGGATGCCGGCGCCGCAGGGGGAGGATTAACCAAGTGAGCCACAGCGCCAGCCCCTCAAACTTATATTTTTAATTATATTCTTCTGCCTTTTACTAAATCAATATAATAAACTATCAAATGAAAACTAAATGTTAACTATTGATTATGCTGTGGCTACAATAGGCTCAGATGTGTAATTTATGGTGCCATATTAATAGGTATATTCTGAAATTTCAAAGAAATTCAGATTGTTCTTATAGAAGTCTCTTCGGGGCCAGTGCTGTGGCATAGCAGGTAAAGCCGCCGCCTGCAGTGCTGCCATCCCATATGGGCAACGGTTTGAGTCCTGGCTGTTCCACTGCCGATCCAGCTCTCATTATTTAATTTGCTGTTCAAATAAAATAAATAAATCTTTAAAAAAAAAGGAGAAAAAGCCTTGTCTTTCTCTGTATTTTGGGTTGTGAGTTTAGATTTACTTAACACTTATTAAAGCTGTCTGAACAAATGAATTTACTGATTTGTTGAAAATGATCAACGGTTCTAAAGTCAGATTCTTACTCTGTTACAATGACAGCCATGTAAGTATATGTTATTAGCCATAGCTAACTGCACACTACTTTGTGGAGAACTCAAGAGAATCGTTAGTGGCACAGGATTTCGAATCAGATATGAGCGGGTTCTGACGAGGGTTCAAGCATTTGATGAATCCGAGCAAGCTACTACCATGAGCCTGTTTCTTCGTCTGTGAAATAGGTATTATCCTTTACTCCCTAGACTGGTTACTGAAAACACACGAAGTCATGTCTGAAAGGCATCTCTATACGCTGGAGTTCCCCAAGACTCAGAGCTTACAACTCTCCATCTACACTTACATACCAACAAGATTCCTCCTACCTTTAAAACATTTTTGAAAACCACCTCTTTGGTCTTGTCTTACTACTCTTTCCAGCTGTCGCTCTACTTCCTTTCTTTCTTTTAAACTAACACTCTCCAAAACAGGTGTCCAGAGGCCCTGGCTCCAGTTTCTCCCCCCTCATTTTTTTCCCCATTCCACTCCTACCGCTCCGTGAAGTTGCTCTCTGCCATCACCAAGGGCCGGCACACGTGCAAACTCAGTGCTCCATTGCCAGGCCTCACCTCACCTGGCTGAGCAACAGCATTTAGTACAGCTGATCACTCCCTTCTCCTGGCAACACTTCAGCTGGTTTCCAGGTTGCCACGTCTTTGCGCTCCGCCAGCCTCACTGGTCACATCTTCTCGGTCTCCTCTTCATCTCCCTGACCTCTAAGCGTTGGAGAGTTACTGCACTCAGCAAGGAGCTCTCATCTCTTTTCCATCTATACCCACTCTCTTAGTGACCACAGTTTCATGGCTTAACTACTATTCATATAGCTCACTAGGCTAATTCTCCGCCTGCAGCGCCAGACCTCGGGTTCTAGTCCCGGTTGGGGCGCCGGATTCTGTCCCGGTTGCTCCTCTTCCAGGCCAACTCTCTGCTGTGGCCCAGAAAGGCAGTGGAGGATGGCCCAAGTGCTTGGGCCCTGCACCCTATGGGAGACCAGGAGGAAGCACCTGGCTCCTGGCTTCGGATCGGCGCAGTGCACCGGCCACAGTGTCCATTTGGGGGTGTGAACCAACGGACAAGGAAGACCTTTCTCTCTTTTACTAACTCTGTCTGTCAAAAAAAACACATATAGATCATTCTCAGATTTAAATCTCCAGCCCCAACTCTCCCAAGAGTTTCAAGTCTTCAAGGAAAAAGTCCTTTGGTTCAGGAGCCAGTGTTGTGATTCAGTGAATTAAGCCACCAACTGCAATGCCAGCACCCCATATGAGTGCTGGTTCAAGTCCTGGCTGTCCCACTTCCAATCTAGTTCCCTATAAGTGCACCTGGGAAAGAAGCAGATGGCCCTAATGCTTGGATCCCTGCCACCAATGTGAGAGGCCTGTATGGAACTACAGGATCCTGGCTTCGGCCTGGTCCAGCCCTAGCCCCTAGCCAATGTGGCCATTTGGGAAGAAACCAGTGAAAGACCTCTTTTTCTGTTTTACCCTCTCTATCACTCTGCCCTTTAAAAAAAAAAAAAATGTTGGTTGAGTGTCTCAAGCACTTGGGCTATCTTCTACTGCTTTCCCAGGCCATAGCAGAGAGCTGGATCAGAAGTGGAACAGCTGGGACTTGAACTGTTGCCCATATGAGATGCCGGCACTGCAGGCGGCAGCTTTATGTGCCACACCACAGCATCAGCCCCACTCTGCCTTTCAAATAAATAAATCTTTTTTAAAGAAGTATGTTGGTTCAGTTCTTTTGGTGGGATTTCCTTGGATCTCTGAAACAATATGAAAGAAACAAGGACACACTGTACACATGGTAAGATTTCAGGGGAGGGAAATTAAACTCAAACTCACCTGGAACTCGACAGGAAGCAGCTCAACAGTAGGTTCCATTTCTTCTGTGCTTTGTTGTTGGAGTAGAGAAGCATCTTCAGTGGTCACAGCTGAAAAGAGTCGAAAATAAGCTATGAAGTAGGTAAATTCTATTTTTGCATTTCCATATTCACTAGGGCAAAAGCTGTCACAGGCCAGGTTGCGTACATAAGGCTGACAATATTTAACTCAAAAAGCTCAGATGCAGGAGCCAGCATTGTGGCACAGTAGGTTAAGCCACACTTGCAATGACAGCATCCCACATTGCAGTCCTCAATGTTCTGCTTCTGATCCAGCTCTCTGCAAATGCTCCTGGGAAGGCAGCAGATGATGGCCTGGGCACTTAGGACCCTGCCACCTACGTGGGAGACCCAGCTGGAGTTCCTGGCTCCTGGCTTTGGCCTGGCCCAGTCCTGGATGTTGTGGCCATTTGGGAAGTGAACTAGTAGTGGAAGATCTCTCTCTCTCTCTCTCTCTTTCTCTCTCTGTGTGCCTTTAAAATAAATCTATAACACATAAATAAAATAAAATAACCCTCCTCAGATGTTGACAGAGTACATAGAATAAGATAGCCAAGTAAGGGGTTGGCATTGTGTCACAGGTAAAACTGCCACCTGTGACGCTAGCATCCCACATCAGCACCAGTTCGAGCCCAGATGCTCCACTTCCAATCCAATTCCCTGCTATTGGTCCTAGGAAAGCAACAGAGGATGGCCCAAGTCCTTGGGCCCTGTACACATGCTGGAGACCTAGAAGAAGCTCCTGGCTCCTGGCTTCACCCTGGCTCAGCCTCAGCCATTGCGGCCACTTAGGGAGTCAACTAGCAGATGGAAGATCTCTCTCTCTCTCTAACTCTGACTTTCAAATAAATAAAATAAATCTTTAAAAAAAAGATAACCAAGTGAAAGTGATTTTTGTAAGTTTTATTCTATTTGTTTGAAAGGCAGAGTTATGGGGGATGGAGGGGGGAGAGAAATTGAGAGAGATCTTCCATTCACTGGTTTACTCCCCAAATGGCCTCAACAGCTGGGGCTGGGCCAGGCTGAAGCCAGGAGCCAGGAGCTCCAGATCGTCCACACGGGTGCAGGGGCCCAGGCACTTGGGACACCTTCTGCTACTTGCCCAGGCACGTTAGCAGGGAGCTGGGTAGGAAGTGCAGCAGCCTGGACACAAACTGGTACCCACAGGGGACGCCGGCATCACAGGCAGTGGCTCTATTCTCTACTCTACAACATCGGCTGTGCTGTGGTCTACTCCCGGGCCTTCTCCCAACACGTGTCGTCTGCTCTTTCCTGCCACGTGGGTGCACCTGGCTATTTCATTCTCACCAAGGGTGTTTCTCTCCATTCTCCTCACTTTCAACTTCGTGTTTATTCCAGCAGCCCTTACCTTCTTCTTCCACTTGGACGGCCACGGCATCCATGCTCGGCTTCTGCTCTTTGTGCTGTAACTGGCAGGCCTTCCTCCGTAGCCACTGCTTCAGAGATGAGCGCAGACTTCCAGCGCTACACAACCCGCACTTTCTGCAGGCCAAGGACTCTGCTCTGAAGCTCTGGAGAGAGACTTTGAGAGTTTCCTGCGGGACATCTCCCTCTGTCCCTACCCCCGGGGGGCTTACTACCATGCATTTCCTCCTAGGGCCTCAGACAAAAATCTACTTTGCTTGGAAACCTTAGGACTGGGTCCTTAATCCCCACGGCTGGAAGATCTTTCTTTGGAATACCAAGGTCAGCCAGTACATGTTGCACCAGCCATTACATGGCGCACCAACTAGTTCCAGAATCTTCCGGGAACGCCCATGGAGGCGGACGCACACACGTGGCAGGAACCGTCAGCAGAGCTCCCTCGGCTGGTTCACCTTCAACGCTCACAAACACAAGGCAATAGGAAGCCAGGACCCTTCGACACAGAGTCCTCACTCGCTTTTAAGACCCGGCGCGTCCAGAATCGGACCCCGTGCACTGGTCCCCCAAATACAGGCAAGCCCCAGAACCCTAAAACAGGGCAAAACAGAAGGCAGACGGACAGGGCATCGGGCCCCCTTTCTTCCTCTCTGTCCCCTGAGGCTCCGGCCGAGTGGCGAGATTTAAAGCCAAAACCTCCGGGAGGCGCTCGCACTCGAAACCACCTCAGAAACCCACGTCCTCGCCCGGCCCAGACTCCCGCTCCCAGAATCCTCCGCTCCCGACTCCATCTCCCAGAGGCCTTAGCGGCTGCCCCGCCCCCTCGCTCAGACCCGGACCCAGAATCCCCGCGCGACCCCTCGGAGGTCTCCTCCGGGAGGGCGCGCCGAGCCCCCGCGAGGGGACCGGCGCCGGAGTCGGAGCCGCGCGCGCACAGCCAGGCCCCGCGTCCTCTTACCCCTGGGCGTGTGCGGCGCGGCGGGGTCCGCGGGCGGCGGGCGGCGGGGACGCGGCGCGGGAGGAGCGGGCAGGGCCGCGTGCCGGCCCACGGCGCGCGGGGACACAAAAGGCTCGAGCCCGAGGCTCGCCTGCAGTCGCATCTGCGCACTTGGCGGCGAGCGCGCCGGGTCGCGGGGGTCCTGGCGGAAAGACTCCACTTCCCAGAGGGCTCGGGGACCCCGGTGCCAGGCGTGGGGGGCGGGGGGCGTCGGGCCCCTTTTTGGATGAAACGAGAGGCTGTCACTGGAACGTTCCAGATTATGCTAGTGTGTGGTTGTTAACACTGGAGAGAGGTGTGCGATGCAAAGTGTTTTCCCCAGTAGTCCTCCATTGTTCCCTAGAATCAAGCCCGCGTGCTGGTGACGATCTTGCTGTATTCTATTGAGTAGAGCAGGGTTGAGGCGCCCTTGTCCCCAGTGGAGACGAAAGAACACGACTAAGAAGGAGTTCCGAGGGGGAGGTTAGACATGAGAAAGAAGCAAGTAGGCAGACTGGCTTTGAGTCGCGGCCATGTGTGCACCAGGAATTAACATTAGCCCCCAAGGACCCCTCTCCTTGAGCCAAGGGAGTTAGGGTCCACCGGGCAAAAGGTACTTCTTCCCTCTGTGTCGGAAGAACTGCAGACATGGGCTGGAACCCATGGTACCCCCAAGGGTTGCTCTTGAACCAGCAGATGGAGTTCTCTCTGTCTCTCAAATAACTGAGTAATTTTCAGTTAAATCCGTTCATATCACTTCTCAGAGCTCTTCAGCTGGCTATCTGGGGGTAAGATGTAACCTTGCTAACCAATTAAAAGATCCTGCATTATCTGGCTGCGTGAACCTTGAATTGTTTGGTGCTGTCTCCATATACTTTTTTTTTTTTTTTAGATTTATTTATTTATTTTGAAGGCAGAGTGAGAGAGAGAGAGAGAGAGATATTCTCCACCTGTTGGTTCATTCCCCAAATGGCCGTAATGGCCAAGCTGCGCTGATCTGAAGCCAGGAGCCAGGAGCTTCTTCCGGGTCCCCAACGCGGGTGCAGGGGCCCAAGGACTTGGGGCATCCTCTACTGCTTTCCCAGGCCACAGCAGAGAGCTGGATGGGGAGTAGAGCAGCCGGGTCTCCCAACTGGCGGCTATATGGGATGCTGGCAGCGCAGGCTGCAGCTCCATCCAGTATGCCACAGCGCCGTCCCCACCATATAATTGGATATACTGAGATCACACAATATCTTTACATCCCAGACTTACTACATATACCCTTAATACATACATTCATTTCCACTGCTTGGAATCTATCTAGTCATCCTTCAAATTTCAGTTCAAATGTTATTTCTTAGAGAAGACTACCTCCTCTAATGCAAATTGATTTTGTCACAAAAACATGGCCTTTCTCTCTAGACATCACAACTTATAAGTATACATTTATTTTTGCTGTTGTGTAATATGCATCTTCCCCATTTCACTGTGTATTCAGTGGGTTCAAAGACCCCTTACCTTGAGGCCGGCCTTGGGCTTAGTGGGTAAATCCACACCTGCCATTCCAGCATCCCACATGGGTGCTGGTTCATGTCCTGGCTTCTCCTCTTCGGATCCAGCTCTCTACTATTACGTGGGAAAGCAGTGGAAGATGGCACAAGTGCTGGGGGTCCCTGCCACCCACATGGGAGACTGGGATGAAGCTCCTGGCTTCGCCCCATTGTGGCCATCTGGGGAGTGAACCAGCAGATGGATAATTTTCTCTCTCTCTCTCCTTCTCTCTCTAACACTGACTTTTTTTTTTTAAGCTACTTTTTTTTTTTTTTTTAAGATTGATTTTATTTATTTGAAAGAGTTACAGAGAGAGGTAGAGACAGAGAGAAAGGTCTTCCATACGCTGGTTCACTCCCCAGATGGCTGCAATGGCCGGAGCTACGCTGATCCAAAGCCAGGAGCCAGGAGCTTCTTCTGAGTCTCCCAAGCAGGTGCAGGGGCCCAAGGACTTGGGCCATCTTCTACGGCTTTCCCAGGCCATAGCAGAGAGCTGAATCGCAAGTGGAGCAGCAGAGACTAGAACCAGCACCCATATGGGATGCCAGTGCTTCAGGCCAGGGCTTTAACCCACTGTGCACAGTGCTGATCCCAACACTGACTTTCAAATACATTAATAAATCTTTTTTTTTTAATACCACGTACCTTGGTGCATCACCATGTCAAGTGCCAAGCACATACCCTGTTAAGTGCACACAATTCCACAGTTAATTATTCCCAGTCTTGCCTGGGTCCTGACATTGTTTAGTAGCCCTTTATTTCTCCATGGTTATCTTCTTTTATACGTGATTGTCTCCTCTTCTAATTCCATTTATAAACAGGTCCAGATACCACTTTCTGCAACTCTGCCTTTCAAATAAATAAATCTTTGTATCAAATAAAAATTCTTATATAACTTTGACCTTTCATTTAGTGATAAGTTACATATAGCTTGGCAGTCATTCAAATACATTTAAATGTGAAAAATATATAACTGTGATAAAATTATTTGAATGCTTTGTAACAAATAATTTCATGCTGCTTTTTGTAATGAGTTGGAGAACAGGGCCTTATTTGAAATCTGTTTTATCTGCTTCCCACACAGATACCACCTTTTACCTACCTCACTCTTTTGAATTTATTTTTTTTCAGAAGGATTTTCCAGGTTGTAAATCACATGTAATGGTTATTATGGGATACAACAGATTGCTTGCTATCAAGTGCTTTTGAAGTAATCATTTCCAGGGCCGATGCTGTGGTGCAGCGGGTTAAAGCCATGGTCTGCAGCGCTGTCATCCCATATGGGCACCAGTTCAAGTCCTGGCTGCTTCACTTTTGATCCAGCTGTCTGCTATGACCTAGGAAAGCAGTAGAAGATGGCTCAAGTCCTTGGGCTCCCGAACCCATGTAGCAAACCTTGAAGAAGCTCCTGGTTTCGGATAGGTGCAGTTCTAGCCATTGTGGCCATCTGGGGAGTGAACCAGCGGAAGGAAGATCTTTTTCTCTCTCTCTCTTTCTTTCCTGCCTCTGCCTCTCTCTAACTCTGCCTTTCAAACAAATAAATAAATCTTTTAAAAAGTATTTATTTAAAAAAGAAATAATCATTTCTTACAGGTGATAGAACGTTTTAGATAAAAAAATTCAGAAAACAAAACTTTACAATGGTGATCAAAAGCGTTATGTTTTGTTTGATTTTTACTGGGGCTGGTGTTGTGGCGCAGCTCCTGCTTCAACCTGGTCCAGGCCTGCCTGTTGTGGCCATCTGGGGAGTGAGCCAATGGCTAGATCTCTTTCTCTTTCTGTCTCTTCATGTCTCTTTGTAACTCTGCCTTTCAAATAAACAAACAAATCCCTTTTTTTTAATGGCAATTAAGATGTCCCCACTCTATGTAGGAGTGCCTGGGTCCATTTCCTGGTTCCCAATTCCAGCTTCCCACCAATGCAGACCTTGGAAGGCAGCAGGAAATGGCTTCAGTTTGGGTTCCTGCCATTTATGGGGAGACTTTGGCTGAGTTTTTGGTTCCAAGTATGTTACAGGCTTTTGGGGGAATGAATGGGAACACATTCGCTCTCCCTTGCTCTCTTGTTCTCTCTCTGCCTTTAAATAGAAAAATTAAATATGAGTCTTTTATATTAAAACTGATGAAAGAAGGTCAAAGATATATACAGAGAAAAATAATATTATAAACATGTTCATTGTTTGGAAAGAAAGTTAAAAGTACACTGACTAAATATTTTGGATTTTAGGGAAACAAAACAAAAATTCTAAGGAATTTAGGAGGATGAAAACATAAGTAAATGATTAATTCACAGATAAATGTAAGAGTTAGTAAAAATACTCAAGGGATATACTTTCTTGTGTTTTGAAAGGAAGTGGAGGTGGGGTATCTGGTGCTGTAGCTTAGCCATCCCTTGGGGCACATCCCGTACTGAAGTGCTTAGGTCAGCGTGCAAGCTTCACTCCCGTCTCCAGCGTCCTACTCATGCACCCTGGGCGGCAACAGGTGAAGGCTCAAGTAGCTGGGTCCCTGCCACCCACGTGAAAGGCGTAGATAGACTTCCAGTCCTGGCTGTGCCCTGATTAGGGGGAGTGCACCAGAGGTCAGGAATTCTGCTTCTGTCCCTACCTATCTGTCTCTGCCTTTAAACAATTTTTTTTTTTTTAAATAAGTAAATGGGAACAGCTCTACTTAGCCTAGCAATTAAGATGCTGGTGCCCCACGTTGCTCTACCTAAGTTCCACACCCAGCTCTGGCTGCCGACTCCAGTCTCTCCTGCTAATGCAGACCCTGGCAGGTGGACATAGTGGAGGGTGTACCTGGTAGTGTCCCTGCCACCTGCGTGGGAGACCCTCATTGCCTTCCAGGACATAGGGGGCGTGAACCAGCAAAAAGGATACATTTCTATCTCTCTCTCTCTCTCCCTCCCCTCTCTCATCTGTATCTCCGCCTCTCTCTCTCTCTCTCTCTCTCTCTCTCTCTCTCTCTCTCTCTCTGCCTTTCAGATAAATCAATTGGCCGGAATCTGTCCCGTTGGGAGCCCGGGGCCTGGTGCATCTCTTACTCTGACAAGTCCCACTTCCTAGAACCAGAGGTGCGCGCGTGTGTGTGTGTGTGCGTGTGTGTGGGTGTATTCCTGATTGTGCAAATGGACGGCTCTTCCACTCGCTCTAAAGAGGAGGAAAGGACCCCAGTGCCCCCGCGGCTCCTTGCGGGACACCGTGGTGGGGGACCTCTCCGGGCCGCCGCACACCGCATTCCGGGCCTCCTGGAGTGCGCGGGAAGACGACGCGGGAGCCAGCCCCGGGAATGCGCATGCCGTGGGGAGAGGCTGCAGGGGGGCGCCCGGTGAGCATCGGGGCTTCCCGGGAGCGTAGAACCTCCCTCGGGGGGCGCTCAGCCCCAGGACCCCGCGTGTCCCCGCCAGCGGCGCTCGCTGGAGGAGCCGGGGCGCGCGGGTTGTTCCTCCAAAACACCTGCGGAGCTCCCAACCGCGGCGGTGATGGAACTTAAAGATCCCGCACGGAGTGAGGAGCCGGCGGCGGCTGGCTAGGGGTGAGGCTGCGCTTCCATGCGGACACCCGCAGGTTGCGCGTTCGAGTCCCTTCGCGTCGCGGCGAGCGATGGCTCGTTCGGCGGACACCCCCCCTCTCCTATTACCTTTTTTTCCAATTTACCTTTT